TGCGATCCGTAATCACTATCTCTCAAAAATCTCCCAAGTATCATCCTCCATTAGCATTATTCTTTATATACCAGCTTCTTTCTTGAGAATCTTCGTTTTTTGTTGTTGAAAAAACAGGACTTGAAACTAAAAAAAGAAGAAATAGATGTAAATTTAGGAAATAATTTTGGTATTCATTTTTTTCATAAAATAGCACTTACGTTTTATATTTAGAATTGACTCCAATTTTCGAAATAGTGCATTGAATTGTTTAAAAAGAATTCCAATAAGTCGAGAGGCTTTTTGGTAGTCTAATTATACTTGAATAGAGTTGAAGAAATTCCTTTTTTCTTTTTTTTTTCTCTTTGGTACCAGATCTTCATGAGGAAGCCTTTTCTTTAATAAAAAACACGCGATAATTTCGTTTCAAAAAAACACGAAACCGTCTGTCTTCAGCTGCGAGAGAATAAAAATTCGCGCATCCGGTTTTATCTTTTATGATGCAAATCTCTTCTTCTCCTTCTTCTTGAAAGAGTTCTCGATATTTTTGAATTATTTTACTATAAATGAAACTAAATTCGTGCTGGTTAATTCAAAATGGAAAAAGAGAATAAAACTATTTTCATTGACAATATTTCCATGTTTTTTTATTCTCGTCACAAGAAAAAGAAATTAATTACAAGAAAGAAGAATTAATTTTTTATTGCAATTAGAAAGAAATTTTTTCAATTAGAAAAATTATTTATAACTAAAAAAAACATTTTCAAGTAAAAAACATATTTTTGATAAAAATGAATAAGTTTAATTAAAAAAAATTATTTTTCCAATCAAAATAAATTCAATTCCAATTTTAATGAGAGAAAAAAAAATAAGCACCTTTTTCCTGTCAGTAAAACGAAGAGTTATCGGTTATAGTTTTTAGAACCCCTTTTCCTTTTTTTTACCCACGAACATTCGTTGAATAATCCGATATGAATATGTAATCCAGATGCAAACACACGCCACGCGTATCTCGTTTAAACGGTCGCGATATTTCACGGATTATAAGATCGTGTCGAATATTTGCTCTGCGATTCACACTATACATACCTATTCGATTTTGTGTATGCTCGCAACTATAACAAAGTCAATAACTCTTTACAATCTCTAAAACATCTAAATAAAAAATTGTCGCAATCCCTTCGAAACGAAGGGAATTTATTTTTTCTCGTTCACTCTCTTCATTTTTTTCTCAATTTTTGTTTTTTATTTTTTCCTCTCATAATTATTGTCACTTTTTTATTACTTTTTATTTTATTACTATTTATTGACTCCTTAAAAATTTAATATTAAATGAATTAAAAATTATATATTAAGATTAATTAAATAATTATATTTTTTTTAAAATAATTAAATATTAAAACAAAATAATTTGGTAAATTTTCAATTTTACAAAAATTTATTTTTATTAGAAACTAATTTTTATTTTATTTGAACAAAAATTGAAACAGTTGAAAAATATAATTTTAAAAGAAGAAAATGAAGAAATTGAAAAAAATTAAATTTTAAAAATAAGGATAGGCATTTTTGTGCCTTTTTGAGAACTTTAACTTTAACTTTTTACAATTAAAAATTGTAATGAAATGAAGAAATACGAAAAAAATAAACGAAAACAAAAGAAAAAAGACTAAATTTAGGGATAAATGAAGAAAGCTTTTTTATGAAAAGATAAAAAAAGGCGATAAAAATTCAAAAAAATTAAAAGAAACTAAATGACAAAAATTAAGAAATGCGAAAAAAATAACCAACAACGTCAGAAAAAAACTAAAAGAAAAAAGACTATAAAAATAGAGAGAATGAAGAAAGCAATGAAAGAAAAAAGCGACAAAAAACAAAATCGAGAGAAACAAAATGATAAAAATGAAGAAATGCAAAAATAATGAATGGAAACAGTGGAAAAAAAACCAAAAAAATGACAAAAACTTGTGCGAAAAGGAAAAAAGCAAAATAAAAGAAAAAAGCGACAAAACAACAAAATCGAGATAAACAAAAGGATAAAAATGAAGAATTGCAAAAATAATGCCCGGAAAACAATAGAAAAAAACCCCAAAAAAATAAAAATTTGGGGAAAAGGAAGAAAGCAAATTAAAAGAAAAAAGTGACAAAAACAAGAAAATTGAGAGAAACGAAATGATAAAAATGAAGAAATGCGAAAAGAATATCTGCAAATAACAGGAAAAGCCTAAAGAAAACACAAAAATTGGGGAAAAAGGAAAAAAGCAAACTGAAAGAAAAAAGTTAAAAAAAATACATCAAAATCGAGATAAACGAAAGGATAATAATGAAGAAGTGCGAAAGCAGATGAAAGAAAAAACATCAACAGTGCAGACAAAAAAAATCGAAAAATCAATAAATGAACATGAAATGAAATAGATGAAATTTCCCATAAAATGAAAATTCAAAAACCAAATGAAGACTAATTATAATTTAATTATAATCACAATTTCAAAGTATTTAAAAAAAATACTTAAAATTGTTTCGAAGAATTAATGGGAGAGGTTTCCATTGAAGAAACATAATAATAAAGTATCGACAGTTAACATTATTATTACTTTTTACAAAGCGAATTTTTAGTTCCTACATAAAACGATAATTAATCGTCTCTTATTCTTTTTCGGAGGTAAAATTGATATGACATTGTGTCGACTACAAGGAGTTGTACATTCGCCAGAAATGTTCGTCTATTATACAAGTGTATCATACAAGCAGTAAATGTGTGGAAGTTAAAGATATTAGGCTGTTTATCATCACCAAGCTCGATTGGCCCTTGCTAATGACCCATTAGTACCTTTTTCTCTATATCGATTTAAACTAACGAATTTATAAAGAAAAAAAACGAATTGCTCAACTACATAGCGTAAAATCATTTTCACAATCCTGTCTCTTATCGAAAATTTGAATCTCTGAAAAAATCTCCAAGATTATTAAACTTTTCTACGATGATTTTTTCTTCTCTATAATTTTTCCAACTAGAAAGAAGTTTGGACTATTTTTTCAAAAATCCAATTATTACAACTGTCGATTTTTTTCAATATATTTTTTCAATTTTCTAATCAGATTTTTTTCATTCGTGTACGAAAGTGAGAACACGATTGTGACCATTTCTTTTATTATTTGTATCGCAAATAATATCGAAGAATTATCATTCTTACAATCAAAAATACAAATTTTCCTTATTTTTCACTGGGTGGCGCGTTAAAAATACGCTGAAAAAAACTAAACTCCAATTATTGGGAGAAGAGGAGTAAAATTGGATATAACACGCGAAAAAAAAGTGGTACAAAGCTTGAGAAAAATTTTCTACAAAAAATTACTAACGATCAGTCTCGAGATGAAGAAGAAAAAAAATACCAAATTGTTTCTTTTTGACAGAAGAAAAAAATCTGTCAATTGAAAAAAAAATGATTCTTAATAGTATAATTATTATAATAATGTGGTATCTCCCCTTTCCATTAACAATTCAGACTTATATGATAGATCGGAGAAAACAGTTTCTTTTTTCCATATCAGTGACTCCAACTCCTTTTATACAATTATTATAATTGCCAGTCATTAATTAACTTTTTTAGTGTTTTCATTTTAATATTGATTGGCCAGTATCTAGCGAGTGGAAGAAAGCTCATTAAACTGCATGCACACGTTTTTCTTTTCTTTTCTCTCTTATAAAAATATATTGGACGGAATCATTCTCGAGGTTTAATTATACAATGTTAATTTTTTTAGCACGCATTGGTGAAAAGAGGTATGTCATATTGATCTTCACTTTTTAAAGGTATATTCGCGATTTATTCTTCGGCAAAAATTTGCTCCTGCGAACCAGAAGAATTTTGCAAATTTGTAATTTTCTATTTGCAAATTCATTTATAAATTTGGAATTTGTAATTACAAATTTATAAATGAATTTGCAAATGGAAAATTATAAATTTGCAATAAATTGAAATTTATTCCCTCCAATATCAATCGAATTTTGCCAAAGAAAATCGCCAATAAATTTACCACATAATTAATGTTAAATCTAATTAAAAATACACGTCAAGATTTGATCAAAATGCAATCCTCCAAATATCTCGATATTTCTAATTTACATTCTCAATTATTAACAATTGTTTACCATTCACATCGATCATTCAATTCGATCATTATTAATTTTATTTCCTTTTAATTTGGAGTAATCACATTTTCTTAAATATCGAACTATTAACATGCACTGAAAACTTTAAGTACTTCTTGGAATAAAAAATAATAAAAAAAAAAAACGAGAAAGAAAATCTTTCACTCCGATTATATTCCATTTGACATTTTCTACTCGAACCCAAACAATTATGCGTGCAAAAAAAGACAAAAAGAAAAATAAGAGTTCGGTAAAAGATATAGCCAGGACAAAATCATCGAATACGGAGTTGAAAAGAAAAAAAATTATATATTTTGAGCAAAGACATTGTGAATCGTACGTGAACGATCAATTTGATTCGCTCTCGGAATCGATCAGGCGTGTCTTCAAAAAAGAAGTTTCTATTTCAGATATTTTCACTGAAATTTTTTTTTATCAATACTCGATAATTTCTTTTTTGGAAAATTGTATATAATAAAAAAATGTAAGCCTTGTTCGATACGTTAAAATTTAAACAAATTATAATGAAGCCATTGCTTCATGGATAAATTTTTAAATTAGCAGTCAAATAGTAAAATTTATTATATAAAAAACAAACTTATCGTTAATTTAATTAATAAAAAGATTTTATTCAATTATTCGACATAATTCTCTAATAATTGATTTTCTGTTTATTTTTATCAATTTTTATTAATTTTATTAATTTTACTAAATTTTATTGATTTTATTCATTGAAATTAAAATTTATTAATTCAATTTTTAAAAAAAATTTCTATCGAAGAAAATTTCTAAATTCGAAATAAAATTTCAAATCATTCCCCTAGAGTGTAAATTTCAAAAACAAATTTTTAATTTTCCTAAATTAAAATTAATATTTTGCTAAAAAAAACTTTCGAAATTTTTGTTCCGAACAGTTCGCCAAATATTTAAATTAAAATAGTTAAAAAATTCGAGACTAAAATAAAATAAAAAGAGAGCTTTACGACAAAAAAGATATATATATAAAAAAAAGTCTTTCTTCCTTATTGAGATTGCCCTTTCGCCCAAGACTCATTGATAACTTTTAACCGAACATTTAAGTTATGGCCGCAATATTCTAATTTAGGTAAAATCACTCGAAACGAACAGTTTTTCATTATAAAAAATCATTTTTTTTTAGTATAATGTTTATCCATATTATTAGGATTGTTTAATATTTTTTTAGTAATATTTTTAGTTTTTTTCAGTTCGATTCAAGAGATTTTACTGGTGAGATAAATAATTAAAAAAAAACAGGGATTTTAATTTTCTAAAATGAGAAATTTGTAGTTAGTCGTTAAAATTATCACGATATTATCACTATCGAGATATCAAAAAAATTAATTAGGACTAAATTTCCTTTTTTTTAATAAAAATTGGCAAGACCAAAAATTTGCTCGGAGCAAAATATTTTGATAAATATATGAAGAAATGGTGTTTTTTTTTTTGTAATTTTTGTTGTTTTTGTATCTTACCGTATATACGTTTAACGATCGCTTTTGAAACGAGTTGAATATTATCCTGAAGTTCATTCTTTTGTAGCGAAGCGCCGACGTAGGTTCTTTTTGTTTATGGCATTTGACGACGAAGAGAACGAATTTAATGCTTTCTCAGACACAATGGAATACGGCGATTTGACTTCGTTACTTCGTTATCTCTTGGCAGACTTGTTGTATTTTTCTTCTTTCCTTCCTTTTTCCTTTTTTTTTGTTTTGTTTGCTTTTATCTCCGACAGCTTAGATTTCTCGGAGTAATAAAAATAATTTGGCGACTTAATTTAGTGGAACATGATCGTAACTTTGGTCACTCGATTGTTTTCATCAGTTCGTCGAGCTCGCGAAAAGAGGCGCCCAATTTTCCTGGCAATGCGATCTTTTTTAATATCACACTTCGTATTGTCATGAGCTTCTCGTAACATGAATGACATTTGTGGTACCTGAAAGTGGAAATTTTTTATTTTAATAAATTCAAATTGAGAAGTAACTAAAAGTCAAATTGAAAATAAAAAAAAATTCAAATTGAAAACTAAAAAAATAGAAAAGAAATAAAATACAAAAATAATAAATTTAAAAATCCATTAATTTAATTACCGCTCTTCTCGGGACACGTCAACGCCGATCGTATGCAGAGGCGCTTCCACATTTGATTTGATAACTGGCGCAAAATTTCGAAGAATCAGTCTCAGGGCAGAACATCCAACAGTAACATACCTGAATAAAAAATATAATCGAATTAATAAATTATCGAAACATTCATAAAAAAATTGTTTTCCAATTGAACCTTGAATAGAAAAAATAGAATTCTCGAGATATTTCGCCCCTATCATTATGAAAGAATTTTATTTTGTACAAAATTGTTTATGATCGACATAAAAATTAAAGTTCGCTCTTCCTTTAGAGTTGGATAAATATATTTTTGCGAAAATAATTTCTGCGGTCGACAAAGAAAAAAAATACCAATAAAATATTTTTGTCACTAAAATAAAAATGTCGTAATTTTAACATTTTAGGACAAATGCTCGTCGTTTTGCGCCGAAAGCGATAAATCTCGGGACTTTCTTCAGGGGGGGCAGATAAATAATAAAAATCAAACACGCTTGATAATTCGGATCATTGGCGATAATTTTTTCTAACTCGGAATATAACATAAAAGGAAACGCTTTTGCTGGACAGTAAAAATTTGCCCTCCCATCTTGTTACGGACTATTATTTTCTACAGGGCCTTATTATGTTATAACGATCACAATAAATAACGAGGCACGCGAACTACGCTGAAATTCGGCTCGCTCCGTTTCTCTTTGCCGATGAAAAAAGGGTTTGTCAGCTCCCATTTGAATCAGCGCATCGAATCACCACCCGGGCTAAATTCTTCAGTTTCGTGCGAAGCCTTCTTTTCCCCAATCACTAAACAATCGAGATTTTCAACTAAATAAAGAAAAAAAATTCCCACAAATCAGAAATTTATTTGCCAAGTTGATAAAAATTTTTCTACTCACTACTTTTCACTAACCAAGATTAAAAATATCAAAGATAAGAGAATAAGAATTATGAAAGTGTAAAAATAATCATACTTTCAAAAACTAGTAAATTTATTATTTAATAATATAATAAAATAATGTATTATTTAATATAATAAAAAAATTTATTATTTATATTTAATAATTTTCAGAAATTGTGACAGAGAATGAAGAAAACCCTTTTCTTTTTCAAGAAGAGAATATATAAACGGCACGCGTCTAAACGATAGTTTTACATTCATTGGATTTTTTTCTCACGAGCTAACTGAGACCTACAACGATGGCATGACGAACGAAGCGTAAAAATGACGAGTATGGTTAAAAACCCAAACTGTTCATCTAAAGTCATCGCTATTTACTATTTACATGCTACGTTGAATCTGCCATCAAATTCTACAGCGTATGATATAATTATATTATAATAGGGTAAACAAAATACAAAATTATATACTTCTTCGATTCGAATCATGCTCCCGAGGACAGTAGGTAAAAGAGCAAAAAAAAACTCGAGAAGGAAAAATAAAAAAAAAATACAAGAACAGCTGCCGAACGAACGATAATTATCCAACTTTCAAGAGGGATTCCAATTCCAAACAAAATAGCGAAATAAATTGAAAATTATTACTCATTTTCAAATCATTATTAAAAATCGTACTTTGACAATAATTCTGTTCTTGTAAAGTTAATTTTTATTTTAAATATTTAAAAATAAATTTTTTTTTTTTTGTTAATTTTATTTTCATTAAGAAAAAATCAAAAAACAGATTAAGTAAAAATTATTTTCATTGCGAAAAAAATCGAAAAGAAAATAAAGATTTTTGTCAATTTTTTTTAAAAGTGACAGCTATGAGAAAATTGAAAACAGAATGGGGATGAGTTTTTTTTTTGCATTATTCAAAATCGAAAGGAGGAAATTTAAAGAGTGTCATGTGTGCTTCGTACTGTTCGAATTTCAATATTGAACAATAGATTTGAAAATATAAAGAAGAGTATCGAACGCAAATTTGCATCTGTCAGTGCGTCTTTCATTGTCTTGGCTAATTATTGCGACCCTTCTTTCAACTGTACAAACGTTCGTGGATCAATTCGCAGTTAAAATTAGCCATTCCCATACACAAATGACACGAAATACACTTTTCGAATATAGTATACGGCATGCTGCATGAAAATTATGATCTTACATCCAAGTACCCTCTCAACCGGACCACTTTGTTTGCCATCGAATTTGCGTGCGGGGTGTGAAAAGCATTTATAAAAGGGTTCACTTAGAAAAGGGGCGTTTAGGAGAGAACCTTATCCACTTTTAGATTAAAATATATAAATACCATTGATAAAATGTTTACAATAACTATTTTCTTTTCTATTTGAATAAAAAATAATTTTCTTATTTTATTTCTCAACTTTCTCCCTTTATTCCAATTTTGATGTTCTTTTTTTGACTTTAATTGTTAATTTATTATTAATATGTATTCAATCATATTGTTTTTTATTTACGTATGTAAATTATTTTAGAGATAATTTTCAAATAATATTAATATCAAATACAGCTTATTTTTCTATTTTAATTTTATTTTAACTTTAAATAAATTAGTTTTCATAATTTGAATCAACAAATCGTTTGAAAACAAAAAAGCAAAAAAGTTTTGTTATGGAATTTCTAGACTTTTTAAAAGAGTATACAATGAAATAAATTTATTAAATTTGTTTGAAAACAAAAGATGACAGTAAATATAAAATTTTAAAAATCTGATTATATTTTAAATTTAATTTGAAATAAATTAAAATTTTCGTAATTTTAATCGACAAATTGTTTGAAAATAAAAGATGACAGTAAATATGAAATTGAATTTCAAACAATAGTCGTAAAAAAATTATTTTCAGATGAGAAAGGATGCTGCGCTTGAGAAACAAAAGAAGAAAATATGAAACCGCAAACTTCCGAGTCGTATTACCAATTTTTATGTTGGGCATCGTGAATTTTTATATTTTTTCAAAGAAACACAAAGTGCCAAGGCCATAAACGAAAACAAAAGTCTTTCTATTGTTAGTTTATTACCTTATAAATATTTTTTTGTCTTTTATAAAACATTGATCCACGAACTGTCAGATTTTTAATTTAAGACTTGATTTTTAATTTTAAATTGATTATTTATTATAAATTTTACTTAAAAATATAAAATATAAAAATTGTTCGATTACTTTTTTTTCCTTTTTTTTCTACTTCTACTACTTATTTATTTAGTTTTCTACTCACATTTCATATTTACTTTGAAGAAGATCCTTGATTGGAATCAGAAAAGAATTGCAAAGATCCAGATTCCAAATCGACCTTTAAAAAATTAGAATAGAAATTTAATTAAGAGAAGTTTTTATTAAATGTAGATACACAATGAAAAAGTGTAAAATTAAAGATGAAAATCTACTCACGATTTTAATGTAAGGATTCCTAATAGGTCTACAATTACTGATAAATCATTCATTGCAACTGCAGAGTCTATTGCAGACTGTAATGACAAAATTTGTAATGATAAAATTTTCCCTTGTCTCTTTATAAATAAATTAATAATTAATAATATTTAGTGACAATAAAAAAAAATTGAATTCAAACTGAAAAAAATAAAATCGTCCTTATTGCTGAATTTTGACTTGACTGAAAGTAAATTATTTAAATGACAAAAATAGAAAACGATAAACTTATGTTTAGATAAAAAAATATTTTCTACAGATATTCATTTCCCTAAAGTTTTGATCGTTTAAATAACGAGATTTTTTTGGGTAAATATTTTCTAAAATTTATAGACTAGAACGAAAAAAATGAAAATTAAATTTTTACTTTGAAAATTTCGTTATAAAATAATTTTTTGCAGAAAGATGTACATTAACAGAAGTACCAAAAAATATCGTCGTTCATTTTAAACGTTCGAAAATTTAGGAACATAAATATTATACAAATGTGTACTAATTTTTTTTTTTTCTACTAATTTCGAACACAATATTAATCTTTTTCGGTTTAAGAAAAAAAACTATTACTCTTAGAAATATTTTTAGAAATTCAAATAATTACAAATGCAACACTCACCTTGAGATCTTTATTGTGCCAAAGCGAATAAATTATTTGTAACGAGCGATGTCTATTTGTTAAAACAGCCATCATGGATTCGTGTCCTCTCATCATGCTACTGAGGACTTCGGCTTCGGACATTTCAGCGAGAACTCCAACTTGCGAATAAACCAATGCCGATGTTTCTTTATAGTTATTCTAGAAAAAAAAACCCACACAAAATTATTTATACATTTCGCTTACATAGACTTCGTTTTTCAATAAAGAAAAATAGAAAAGAGAAAAAGAAAACAAAAAAACAACAAATTTAAATATTCATAAATTATAAGTATAAAATTTAAAGAGTCTTGAATGAAAAATTAATAAATTATCGAACAAAATTAATTAATTATCGAAGAAAGAATATTTTTTCACCGGTAAAAATGTTTCCATATCCAAACCGTAAGGCCTATTCGCTGTCATCGGAACGAATTCTTCCTTCTCAACGTTATTTATCGTCGGCCTTAATTGAGCGATTCTGGTGTCTGTCTTCTGATTAGGCGCAACTTGCGCCTTATTTGTTTTCCTCGTCGTCGAAATATTTCGCGCCGATAATGGCGAAGAATTTACAAAATTTCGACCTATCGACGTTCTCGACTGCGCTGTACTAGGCCTATTTAATGCGGGATCCGAGGGACTGTGTCTTATATTGTTAATCCTAAAAGCAAATAGAAGACAATTTTACAAACCACATTATCAATTTTGATCGAATACAATTAATAATTGCTGTTATAAAATTATTCAGAGTTATTTAAATTAAAGAAGTTAAATTATTTATTAAGTTTTCATAATTGTAAAAATAAATCTCTTTAAAACAAAAAAAAAAAATTTTTTCTTTCAAACAAAAAATAATTTTCTTTCACTATTGTTTATAAAAAGTATAAATATGAATGTGACTTGATTGTTAGACTACCAGAAATTCCACAGAAGATCCCATATGAATGTCCAAATTTCTTTTAGTAAATACCAGTAAAAATTTCTTGAATTCCAAGTACCAAGGAATCTACAGTAATTTGGGAAAGAGTTCCTTAAAAATTTTTCGTCTCTAATCAAAATTTTATTCCCTAAAGTGCTTTCAATGTAAATTTTCAAAAGTAAAATTCGTCATTTGAAAGCCAAAGAGAAATTTAAATATTTTTAAAAATATTTTCTTGTATACTATTTTTACGATATAATCATGGAATTTTGTTCAAGTCTACAAAAATTATGAATAATTTATTTCAATATTCAATTGTCTTATATAATTAGTTGGTTTATTTTTATGTAAATTGTATTTTCATACCTGATAATCACTGTAAAAAGGCATTTTAAAATTAGAATTTTAAAAGAATTTTGATAACTAACCTAAAGAAATTATTTGATATTCAAAGTGAATATTGCAAAATGTTTTTTTGTTTACTGCTTTTTTCTACGTTGTTTTTTATTTACTAATTTTCCATTTTTTTGTTTCAGTTTTAAAAAATTAAAACAAAAGAAATTATTTAAATACCAACAAAATAATTATTTATTTATTTTCTAAATTATCTCTAAACACGATTGCTGGGAAAATTTGAAACTTTTTCAAATTCAGTTATTTATAACAATTGATTCTATAACTTCTCCGAAATTACTTTCATAATTTTAATTCAATTATTTTCTGGAATTTTTAACTAAAATTCTTCTCAAAATCAATTATTTTAAATCATTTTTATTTAGTTCTTTATTTATTGCATAAACAGGTAATTTTTAAGAAAGTTCTATGAGAATTAAAGTATTAAAAAAAAGGAAATTCACCTGAAATAATTTTCAAATCCAGTTGTTCACAATTCAATTTTAAAAAAATTTTCAATTAAATAAATCAAAACTTCAACTAATTTTAACAAAATTTTTCAAAAAGTGGCTTATTCAGAATTTCAATTAAAATGATTTAAAATTCAAATTCATCTAAAATTTTAATTTGAAAAGTTTTGAAATACAATTTATAAAAATTGCTGCTGTGATTTCTCAAAAATTATTTCCATAACTTCAATTCAATTATTCTCTAGAATTTATTAATTAAAATATTTTCTAAATCAATTATTTTTAAAAACTTTTGAAAAAATTCTCTCAGAATTCAATTATTCAAAGAAAAAAAGAAAGTTCACCAGAAATAATTTTTTAATCTACTGTTTATAATTCAATTTTATTAAATTTTAATTATTAAAACATTTTTGAATTCAATATGTATTCAAAGATTCAATCATTTTAAAAAAATTACAATAATAATTTTTCAAATCACTAACTTCTACAAAATTTATAATTCAAATTATTTAAAATTCAAATTTTTCCAAAATTTCAATTAAAAACCTTTTGAAATTCAATTATTTATAAAAATTGTAAACGCAATTAAAGTAAAATTAAATTATTTTTGGAATTAAGAAGTTAAATTTTTCAAGGAATTAATAATTTGTAGAAATTCTTTGAATATTTTAAAAACAATGGAGTTTCTTTAATAATTTTAATTAAATTTCAATAAAATTTTGAATGTAATTGAATTTTATGAAGAATTTCTTTCACGTTTTTAAAATAATCGTATTTGTCAATATTTGAAATTAAACATTTAATTATTGAATTTTGTTAAAACTTTTAGAAAATAATTAAATTCGTCTGAGAATTTTATTACAATTTATTAAAATAATCTAATTTATTTAAGGAATTTTATTAAAATATTTAAAATAATTTAATTTTTTCGAAGAATAGATACTATTAAAGGTTTTCGCAATAATTGAATTCTTTCGAAAAATTTCTTTAATTTTTTTAATATAATCGATTTTGTCAATAATTGTAATTAATAATTTTACTATTAAATTTTATTAAAATTATTGATAGAAAATTCCTGTAAAGAATTTTACTATTTATAAAAATAACTGAATTCTTGCGAAGAATATTATTAAAATTTTTGAAAATAATTATGTACTTAATAAGTTAATTTAAAAAATGTTGATTCTCTAATTATGTATTCAAAAATGTTATATTTAAAATTAAAGAATTTTGTAATTTACATAATAATAATAAATTGAATAGCATGTTTCAAGCTTAAAATTTGCTAGTTAAAATATTATCAAGTTTAATTATAATTGTCAGAAAAAAAAAATATATTTAAGGTTTTCTATTAAAATTCGTGGTGATTTCAAAGTTTCTAAGGCAAACAATTTTCTTAGAAATTCTAAAAATTTAATATTTTTCCAGTACTTTTGCTAAAATTCCCTGACTTTTTCCTGAGATTCCTAACCTGTGTCGACCCTGCTAAGTATTTCCTCCTTTGTAAAATTTCACCTCAGGTTTTTTATTGCTATAAAATTTCTTTTATTTTTGACGACTTTAAATTGTCATCTAATTTTGATCTTCTTTTTAAGAAAAAGAAAAAACTACTTACTGTACAGGATAATCGCTCTCATAGCCTTGTTCCCCTTCCTTACAGCTGCTTTGTCTCTTCAGGTACTGCTTTGGAGAATCTGGACTAGGAACACGACTTTTCAATTTTGCATCGTCAATCACAGGTGCAACGGCGGCCATTGGCGCTACTCGAGGTGTTAGTGTTGAATTCGATCTCTGCGGACCAAGAGGTTGCGACGAACCAATTGTATGCAATGAATTCGTGACACTCGGAATACTTTTCTTTCCAGGCAATGGAGTGATACTCTGTCTCATCGGTGGAATAGGTACAAGATTCTTAGAATTTCTATTGCCAGCCAGACTATTAGCTTGGAGATTGGCTTTGATTTGACTCGTGGAAGTTATCACATTTCTATGTAAAGGAGGTGATGATTTTATCGGATGAACACGTACCGGTAGTGATTTTGTCAACGTGGAAACTGGAGGTGGTGGTAGGGATTTCGATTTACTCTCATCGTCCGCTTCCTCATTATTTAAGTCTAACATTGAGCTGGACAAATTTCTCAAAATTTGCGGTTGCGCCGGATCTAAAATAAAAAAAAGGTTTTCTTCAGATAAAGACAATTATTTTTAGAACTACGTATTGTAAGAACTAAATATTGAAGAGCTAAATATTTTAAGAACTAAATATTCTATTTACAAAGAGACAAACACAAGACTAAACATTGAAAATAAACATAAAAAACAAGAATCACAATATTTTGGAATTTTCGTGAGATCTAAGCGTGCGACACAAGTGACTTACCAATTTCTTGGGGATCAAGAAACTCTTTTTCTGGAGGCGGTGTGCGAGACACTGAAACACATCATGCTCATGCTCATTCACAAAAAAACATTTATTAAGCACAATAAGCAGAACAATTTACAATTTGCTGGATAAACACACATTGGAAGAAATTGTGCAATTTCGTAAAATTCAAAACTCACGTGATCGATTCGGTTGAAAAATGTCCTGATAATCCGAAACGTTTGGTATTTCAGCGTACGTCACTTCATCTTCAGGATCAGTTCCGGATTTATCGTTGACTTCTTCAATTGTCTTTACATTCAAGCTGAAAAAAATCCATTTCGATTATTAGTCAGAAAAGTTTATTCTAAGGAAGTTTAAAATCTATTTTTTAATTTTTCTACTTCTACTTTTTTTGTGGATACATACGTATGTTTTTTTAGGTCAGGAGGCTTTTCTTTGGAAAAACTTTTTCGTAGTGAATTTCCATGACTGAAGGATAATCCACCCGAGAGATCTCCGCCTGGTACTGGTTTCTTAATATCACAAACGTAGAGAACCACACTCGACATATGACAACTTGCGCCAATCTATTTTGAAATTTAAAAGTAAATTTTTAATATTTGCTTTCATATGAAAATTATTCGAATTAAAATTTTATTTTTATATTCGAAAAATTTTTTATCATAAAAGATACAATAGTTTATAATAGGAAATTATTAATAGAAAAAAAAATTGCTAAAGAAATGGAGAAACGGCAGTGAAAGAGAAGAATGGAGGAAAAAAATAGTGAATAAGTTAAATCAAAAAATAGACAAAGACATTTGCAAAATATTAAATGAAATCAGTTCTCTTTTGGAAAGTGAATTGTAGTTTATTTAAAAGAAGTTTATCATAGTTTATCATATTATTATGGAAAATCCCTTCGTTTTAATTGTTGGCATGTAAATAGTGAAATGTGAATGAGGCTTTAACAGACAAGAAACAATGTATTGTATTGTCAAAGAAATAAATAAATAATAATAATAATAATAATATTAATAGAAAAATCGGCGTAAAAGTAAAATTTAAATATTGATAGTTTTTCAAAAGAGAATATTGAATATAAATAAATAAAAATAGAAAAAAGTCATTTGTAGATCAAATTACCAGTTGATTTTGTGCGATTGCAATATCCTGCACTTTTCCCCAACCGGTTGGAATCGTATCCAAAGTTCTCGCCGGTTCCCAAGCGTAAACTTTTAGAACGTCTTGACTGCCGACGTAAAGACATTCACCTCCAGAACTGAAGAAAAGACAACTGAAAAAAGAAAAAAATTTTAATTTCCAAGTAGAAAAGACGCGTAAATAATTTCAGGTTTGACACAAAAAATTGAATTTGTTTTTCCCTGGAAATTCCTTGATTTACAGACAGAATTTTGAAGTAGAATCATTTAAATTTCACAGGGGATTTAAAATTTTATAAAATGAAGAAACCTGTAACAACCTTGAATTTAGATAATAGAGGAAAAATTAAAAGATTAAAGAGATTTAAGATTTAAGAGTTAAAATTAAAAGAAGAAAAATATTGATGATAATTTTTCCCTTACCGAATAGCAGAATTATTTTGTTCACTTGACGACACAAGTTGAAACGACTCCAAGTCCCAAAAATGTACAATTCTATCGACACTTCCACTAGCCAGTAGAAATTCATGTGGATGAAATTCAACAGTCGTCGCCGAACCTCTATGTCCCGAAAATTCTTTCAATTGCCGACCTGCCCTTAAATCCCATAGCTGAAAAATAATTTTAAGATAAATAAAAATAATAACTGAAAAATAAAAAAAAATACTAAAAAGTACAAAAAAATCAAAGAAATATAAAAAACTAAAAGAATAAAGAAACCAAATAAACATTTAAAGAACTAAAAGAATAAAAAACTAAATAAAAAATAAAAACTAAAAGAATAAAAAAAGCAAATAAAAAATAAAAACTAAAAGTATAAAAAACCAAAAAATACAAAAAACTAAAAATATAAAAGAATAAAAGAACAAAAAATATATAAAACTAAAAACATAATTAATACAATAACTAAAAATGCATTTCCATTTTTTTAACCTTCAGAATTCGATACTGACCTTCACCATTCCCTCTTCGCCGGCGCTTGCAATCCACTGACCATCGGGACTAAATTTTAAACTATTTACAGTCCGATTGTGTCCTTTATAAGTAAATATACAACCTTTTCTTCTGATATCCCACAATTTGATAGCAGTATCAGTACTTCCGGACGTAACTAATTCGCCATATGGATGAAAATCTATACAACGAATTCCTGATTTATGACCGGTGAGTGTCCGCGATAATTTAGCGTGCTCTAAATCCCAAATTTTCAATGCACCAGTTTGTGAGCCAGCACATACTAAATCTTCAGTTTGACCAAATCTTACACATTCCACTGGTGTTGTGTGTCCACTTAAACTCTGTAAAAACACAATTACGAAATTTTATTTCAAACCAACGCAACAAGAATTCAGTTCATACCAAATAAGAATGTATGTTGATTACAAAAAATAGAAGAGGACAAAGAAAAAAATGTACATGTGGCTAATAGGACAAAAAATAAATAAAGAAAACTAAATTAATAAAGAGAAAAAATTAAATAGTTATCAGAAGAATAAAAAATGATTTAACGTCCGTTCGAATAAAGAATTACTTTTTCAAGGAATAAAAATTAGATTGTAGAGAATAAAAATTGTATTTAAAAAATAAAAATTGTATTGTAAAGAAGAAAAATTATATTATGAAGTCTAAAAATTATACTGTAAAGAATAAAAATTGTATTTAAAAAATAAAAATTGTATTGTAAAGAATGAAAATTATACTATAGATTAAAAATTATACTGTGAAGAATAAAAACTGCATTGTAAAGAATAAAAATAACACTGTAAAGAATAAAAATTACATCGTAAAGAATAGAAATTGTTTGAAGAATTAAAAGCCTTCTTATAAAGAAAATAAAAGTTTTAAGACAAAAAAAGTTTATATATTTATAAATAAAAAAAGAACAATCCAGTGAATATTATCTTATTCTCATTTATCAATATTTGACATATTTCAAAATATACTTGTCTCGTGTATGAAAATAAAACGTTAAAATAAAAATAATCACGAATTGTTTATACTCCTTTTTAAATATTTGAACAATAATTCTTCTCTTTGAAATTATGTAAATTATACTCTTCAAGCATCATTATGCAAAATTTTCTCATTGTAATTCAATACACAAGAGAAGACTTATAGAAAAAATTAGAAAAAAAAAAATTTTCCACAAAATTTCGCAAAAAGGAAAAACACATTTTTCCAATATTTGTAGAAATTTAATTAAAAGTAACAAATTTTCTCAATGAAAATCAAGTTTCTGTATCTGTATCTGTATCTCATTTGAATTAATTAAGGAAAAGTTTACTCATAACATTGAGATTTTAGAGGTCAATGTTAATGTAAATTTGAAAAGTGGTTTTCCTTGAAAAGAAACGCATCATTTTTTCTGCTTTACTGCAATTAAAACATTTTTTTCCTCTTAAATTAACAGCTGTGCATTGATTTATTTTTACATAAAAAGGAAAACATAAATTTACCATTTTATGGTCAATAAAATATCGGGATTTCATTTTCGAAAAATAATAACAACAAATTTCAATGTTTTTCAGGAAAATAAAAAAGGAAAAAAATGGCAAATTTCTAAAATAGAAGAAGAAATAGAAATAGAAGAAAATAAAATTGAAAATAGAGAATGTAGTTTAAAAACGGAAAAAATATAAATATTTTTATACAAAATAGATAAAAAAAAGGAAATTGATACAAGTATTGCTTCACAATTTCCCAAAGGTAATTTTACAGATAAGACCATTGATTTCAAAAGAAGCGATTTACGATATCAAGATTTATTTTCCAACTTGCTTAATCCTTTTGTTAAAATAAAATCACGAGCTAGATAAGAAAATATCGATTTGGAAAAAGTCACCAAATATTAGAAATACTATCAAAAAATTAAATACCATCACAAATTTGCAACTAATTATAAATATTAATATTTTTCCAAAGATACAAACATTTAGAAAATTATTTTCCCGATTTTAATTTTAAACTTATTACAAAGAAACATAGCATCTTACCATAATACAATTCTGTTTTCCAACTGCCCATAGATTCACTTTTTTGTCATCGCCACCAGTAACCATAACACGTCCAGACTTGTGCCCCAATGAGAGACAATTAACCATCGACGAATGTGCAACAAACTCCTCTGTAAAATTGAAAATATGAAAATAAAAACAAAATATTCCCCTTCCAGCAAATTCATCATCTCTTAAAAGGATCTAAATGATGAAGATTTCATAACAAGATAATAGTCCTTGTGAAACAATTACAATAGGTTAATGATAATTTCTCTAACGTACAATTAAGAAAGTTAAAAAAATGCATAGAAGATTTTGAAATACTTACGGAGTTTCCAGGATTTTCTTGTAGACGAAGCCATTCTTGGCTCATCAAGTTCTCTAAAGTGAAGGACTTATTTGGCAGTAACAACAATTGGTGTCCGTCTACAGATGTAAGATTTTTTCTTTGCCAACTTTATATGTGACATTTCTAATCCTTCAAATTTCTCACACACCTTAATTGTTCAGTAATATAACCACATTTTCAATAAATAATACTCAAAACTCGTGTTTTATCCGAAAATTTGACAAAAATTGAGATAACATGCATACTCAATATTTTTCTCACTTTCTGTATTTTATTATCTGAAGTTAGCTGCTTTCTCGTGTGGGAAGATTGGCTGTGAACATAGGCATTTAGTAATCGAGATATATCGAAACGAAATAATGAAGGTCACGTGATCGAAAATTGAACAACAACAATAACAAAAGTCAGCTGTTCAACAATAATTATGTAAAATTAAAATATTCTTGCAAATGAGTAAATAAGATAGAGTTATCTTTTCTTTAAACTGTCAGTGTTAAAATTATTCTTCCTTTAATTTTCAATATAATGGTAAAAAATGATTAAGTGTCGATTAAATAATTTGTTGTGTCTCTAGAAAAATTTTACTTTTTTAAATTAAACATATTCTTGTTACCTTCTTTTTAATTCTCTCATAATGATTTATAAATATTTACTGTATAATACACGATTAATTCGTGCTTCACATGGTTTCCTGTCAAATTTTGAGGTTAGAGTGAAGAATCGTTTTTGCTCTTACATTCAAGGGCAATCTCCAGAGCCCAGGATTCGGGAATATTTTTATTACATCGATCATCAAGGAATGGTGAATATTCCAAAAGAAATATTTAATTTTATAAGCAATTTTTTACGAAAAACGAATGTTTACTTTTATTGGAAATTTTATACTCCGGAATGGGATTTTTCAAACATTTTGAAACCTGACTTTGAAATTTAAAAATAACTTGAATAAAATTACTTAAGTAATAAATTTACCTTTGAAATTATAATTTTACATTCTACATTTTATTAAATTTTACATTGGATTTTGTCAAACGAAAAAATTGTGTGCAAATAACAAATGACTAATTATTCTCTATGCCTGACAGTTATTTCTCGATGACACGAAAATAAAAAACTTTACTTCCTGCTTCAAAGGTAATGTAAGAATATTAAAATTATTTTCAAATCTTAATTTATTCATTGACATATTTTTGGAAATTAGTACAAATATTTTGCAGTAATTCCTTGTTTTACAATTTTGAAATTAAAATTAGAACTATTTAAAATATTTTTTGAAAATTACATAAATGTCTAGAAAACATTATTAATTGTTAATTATTAATTATAAATGTACAGAAGAACATTTTTTGAATGTTTCCTTCAGTTTGCATGTATAATAAAGTAGAAAAATACAAACGAGATAAAAGTAAAACAATTTTTTTCAATTGTTACATTATTTTTATATTATTATTTTCTTAAGAAAACAGTTATAAATTCTACGAATGTTTTGTGATTTGAATGCTCTATGAATAGTGAACCGTTAACAAATTTATAAACAATGGATTCTATAGACTCAAGACAGATATAACAATAATTTAATCTAAACACTTATATAAACTCTTTTAGTATATTTAGTGATATATTTAACTTTCAACTATGTAATTATTTCTAATTTTTGTTTTATTGTACCTAATTGTAAAATTTATATTGTAAAAAAAGGAAAACAAATTTTTTAAAAATTTAACTAAAAATGTAATTAAAAAGTTAAGAATGAAAAATATTACGAACAAAAACTATTTTACTAAAAAATGTTTGAGCAATGAATAAAATTATCACATTTAACAAATTTTAAATTAACTATTTAAACTTTGTAATATTTCTATTTTAAGTAAATTTGGACCTCAATATTCAGATATGTTATTTCAGACAAGTTTTGATTTATTAAAAATAAAATAGTTTTAATTTTTAAAAAATATAAAAAAAGGAGAGAACAAAATTCGTGGAAAAATTACAAAAATTCGATTATCAAAATAGGCCATAAGCTTAAATTGATTCTAAATCTAAATTTTGATATCAAGTGTGTAACTGTTTTTTTTTAAATTGTATTTCAAGATTGTTTAAACTTTAAATTTATAAATTTTAACGTTTAAACTTTAGTTTTTGATAATTGTAAATTTACTGTATTCTAGAGAAATCGGTAAATTTTAAGTTTTTAAGTTTTCTTTAGAATTTTTTTAGAAATCACATGAATATTTCAGATAAACAATTTTTGGTTTTCTTCTTTCGGAGATTGCGATTAAATAACACTGGACGTTATTCACAAGACTTTCCATTTGTTTCATTATGTGGTCGTGAGAGGAATTTCGTAAGATGTGACGATCTTCCAATTGTTTTTACCCACATTATCAATAAGAAAACTGACAAATCGCATCAAAATACAGATGAACAATTTTGTTACGCTCACGCTGGTGAACTATTAACAGTAATAAATATTTCTCTCTATTTTTTGTATAATCAGGCGCATAATTAATTTTAATCACGATTTTTTATTAAATTTAAGAATTTAAATGTCAAAAGTCGATAATTATGCGTCTAAATAACAATATAAATCTCTATCTAAGTATGTTAAATTTATTTTTTCAGGTTCCTTTTGAACCGAGAAAAATTTTTATGAATCCTACAACTGGCAGAGTTTATCATCCAGCACCAATTATTATTGGTGGAATTGGCCTTGTAAAATCTAGTCTAGCAATTGAATTCAGTTCTTATTTTTCATTTGATAATGGAGAAGAAAATGGGCCCACTCAATTCTTATGGCAAAATAAGAAATACGATCTTGATACCGAATGGTATAAAGATAAAGTACTGAAACTCTCCTATAAATTGTAATTTACTTTTTTGTATTTTGATTTGAAAAAAACTGCTTTAGACTATTTTTTGTATAATTGTAAAATTGTTGATATAAAGTTTAATAAATTCTATTTTGATACTTTCTCTAATCGATTGAAATTTTCCCCATAATTGCTCTATTGAATAATTTTCGAAACTTAACAATAAATAGATAATTAATAAACGGCTGGAATTTGCCTAAAAAATTTCTGTATTGATTCGTTACATTAATGTATATCGATTTCGAAAATTCTCGCTGTTTTATCTTCGGACGTGGTTAAAATTTTCTTTCCATTCCTGAAACATTTTCAGTTATTTAATTTTTCAGAAAATTCATTTTTGAATTGAATTTATTTTCAAATTATTAAATTCATTTGTTTTAATAAATAAAGGCCTTTTAGGAAATAATTAAAATATTAAAATCATATCTTTATATTTAACTTTTACTCACCTCGAGAGACACAGGTCGAAAATATCTGCACTGTGACTGATGAATAATCGAACGCATTCTCCTGATTTTCCATCGAAGACTCTTAAAACACCGTCTAAACTTGCAGCGAATAGTAAAGCGTTCCCTTCTTTCCATAATAATTTACTAATTCCACATTTTTGTTCAATTTTGTGACGAATCATTTTCTTGGAAATGTCCCAGATGAAAATTTCTCCGTTTATAGTTCCAGTTGCGGCAATTTGATGCTCGGGATCTTTGTAGAATGCCACTGCTTCCGCCCAATTACCTTGATTTTCCTCCGGTGCACTTTCATCGTTCGCGTCATTCGAATTGCCACCTCCTTGAAGATCTTGTAGGACGGTTATTACCTGAGTGATAATTTAATTTAGTCATCATTTATGCTTTTTTGTTACAAAAGTATTTAATTTTTTTTTTGTTTTAAAATTACCTTTCCAGTTTGTGAAGAACTAATGATCGTTTTTCCATCCATACCAGCGGAAAGAATTAAATTATTATCAACGTAACAGTCTAGGGCAATTACTTTTTGTGTATGTCCCAAATTTTGCGATACGGTGAAAAGAATGGAATTTGATTTTAAATCCACGATGCGTATCGATCCATCTTCATATCCAACTGCGAGTCGTTTACCTATGGAAAATTTAATTCTCACAATAATTTTTAAATATTAATTAAACACTAAATGATAAATTGAATGTTCAATGCGATTTTAGTGTAAATTAAAATTATAAATTAAAAATTTTAAATAATTTTAAAGAAAATATTAAAAGAGGAAAATAATACCGTCTGGCAATAATACTCCTGTCTCGACACCAGATCCACTTCCTGGTAAAATCCTGCAATCTCCGTCTGGTATTTTCCACATGTAAATTTCTCCTTGAACAGATCCGGCAAGTAAAACATTGGCTGCAAAATGCCACTGCATCCACTGTGAAAATCAATGTTTTTTTTATAGTTTCTGTATTTATTTAAATGATTTTATTTTTTTTATAGAATAAAATAAGAACAATAGTTCGAATTATCGAGAGTCCAAAGTGACAATATTTTCTTACACTCATATCTCCCATATCGAAATTCCAAACGCATTGTTTGTCATTGATTTTCCAAATTTGAACAACTCCGTTCATATCGCCAGTTGCCAGATACGAATCATCATAATTAAAATCAGCAAATGTTACACTATCCGTGTGTCCTGTGCATTCGAACATTATTTCACCCGAGACTGTATTCCAAACGAATGCCTTGTCATCTTCTGCACCGGTTGCTGCCAGATTTTCGTCTTTACTTAAAGCTCCACAAAATACCGGTCCTAAAATAAATTTTGAGTAAGAGAATAGAATAATTAAGTAATTGAATAAAATAACTTTTGAATAAGCGAATAGAATAATTAATTAATTGAATAAAATAACTTTTGAATAAGAGAATAAAATAGTTAATTAACTGAATAAAATAAATACGAATACAAATACAAATAATAATAAAATACAAAAATAAATAAATATAATATAAAATATAAAAATAAATTACACAATAGTAATTAATAAACGAACCAGTGTGTCCGGAAAATATGCAGATAGAATCATTTCTCTCTGGAACTTCTTTACTGATACCCTGGCCTTCTTCATTTTCTTCCATATCTTCAATTTCCTCCATGTCAGCATCTTCAACATCATTTATTTCTTCCAAATCTTCTAAATAAATTACTTCATTTTCGTCAATCTCCTGCTCCATTTCAGGCGATAAAGGCGGAGTATTTTTTTGATGCATTTTTATCTTCAATCAATGCCTGTAAAAAATATTTAAAATTAAAGTAAACTATAGAGAAAATATAAATTTAAAATAAATAGAATATAGAATAATTGAATGAATAGAATATTTCTATTAAATCATGTTTAATTAAAACGATCAAAATAATAGTAGGAATCGGAGCAATAAAAAAGAATAAGAAAAAATAAATTATTCCAAAAGGCGTGGCTGTGTTTACTTTCGGTAAAAGTAGAAATAAATAAATATATTTTACTGATGAGACATTTAACTATATTAGATTACGAAGTTATTAAACTTCGTCCGGTCAACTGAATAACAAAAAACTAAATATCGTCTACAAGAATAAATAACCTCAAAAAATTTCGTCCGCGTATAATAATTAATGTAATTATAATTATTAACCATACCTTCAAAGTAGAGACAAAGTATCCAGATTTTAAAATAAAATAGTACCGAAATTTTGACTGTATTCTTAAAAAGATATCATAAATAATAAAAATCGAAAATTGTGTGTTTCGTTTATCTCACTCGCACGAACTACATGGTTTTTTGGCAAATATTTTTCCTTCTTCACTATAAATTTAATAATTTAAACGTTAATGATAATTAAAACCTGATTCCAGAAGTATGAAACTTGCTATTTATGTTGTTAATTAACTATAATGAAATATACTGATTATTATTTATTATTATTACAAAAAAAGTTCACTTTAGGGTGCAGTTCCAACTCCCATGTGGTAGAAGATTAGATAAGTTAGATATCTACATTTCCCATTGTGAAAAGTTGTGGACAAACAGAATTGACCAATCAGAGTATTGAAAAATTATGATTGCCCCTTAAAAAGTATGAACCTACCTTCACATACACATTCCCAACCCTGAAAGGCGGCTTCTGGTTATACAACGTGCTCAACGTGTTGTAAAAATTAACTTCCTGTTTTAAGAGCTATATTACCTCGTGACAAAATGGTAAGTACAAATTACCGGTAAAAAAATGTTTATTCTTTAAAAAAAGAAAGAAAGTTTATATAAATATTAACCAGCAAACAGTGTCCATCGTATTTTTTATTGTCTCATTTGTCAATGATTTTCATCATATCAGAAATCGTTCATTTAATGACACTAACCTGCTAAAAAATTAATAAAAACAATTTATTTTTTGGAAAAAGTACTTTTTCTTTAAATCCTTTGATAATTTTTAATTTTGTCGAAGAGAATTTAGTTAACCTAATTTATGTTGCAATCGGTGTCAAAATTTACGTTTTCAAGTTTCTAGAATATTCTTTGTTTAATATTCCTTTTTTTATGTAAATTTAGAAAATTTCAATAGATATGTATTGTACATTCAACTATTTTTTGTTTCACTTTCACGAATATTTTACATTCAAGCCAATTTCTCGAAGATAATTTTAATAGATTTTTTGTTTGTAATTGTGTGTGGAAGTACAAAGTACAATGTATAGTATTGTAAAAAAAAAAGTTCATTACCTTTTTCTGTTTCAGGCTTCCGCTGGTGTTGCTGCTGCTAAGAGATTAATTCCTCTTTTCGATAGAGTTCTAATTCAAAAATCAGAAGCAATCACTCAAACAAAGGGCGGAATTGTACTTCCCGAGAAAGCACAAGCCAAAGTGCTGAAGGGACGAGTAGTCGCTGTGGGTCCAGGTTCCCGAAACGAAGTAACTATCTTTAAATTTTAATTAATTCGGTTTAAAAAAAACTAATCGTTTGCAACTAAATTCAATTTTTTAAAAATTTGTAGTAAAAATATTTGTAATTTAAAAGAAATTAAAAAATGTTTTAAATTAAAAGAAAATAACAAAGATTTAAAAAAAAAAATTAGAAATGAAAGTATTGTTCATTTTCTTTTCCAGAAAGGAGACCACGTTCCATTGAGCATTCAAGTTGGAGACACAGTTTTACTCCCAGAATATGGAGGCACCAAAGTCACACTCGAAGAAGGCAAGGAATTTCATCTTTTCCGTGAATTGGATATTTTGGCAAAATTAGAATCTTAATTGCAATTAATTTCTGTTTATATTAAATTTAAAAAAAAGACTTTTGTGAAAAGAACAAATTTTAGAGTCCAGATATGATTTTTCTTTTGTAAGCGTTATTTTTAATTTCATATATAAAAAAAATTAAATCGACATGCATGAATTCCTCTGTAAATCGAGAATCTGTCAAATATTAAGTTTTTACCAATAAAATAACCAAAGTTTATGCATTTAAAACATTTTCAAGCTATTCATTTTAATGATATGAGTAATTTAAAAATGAAAATTCCCTCACAAAAGTATTATACAAAACTAGGAAAGCAAAAAAATTGTAAAAAATAACCAACAACATGTAGTTTTTAATGTTTAAATATAGAAAAAAATTGAAGTGTAAAAAATACGTTTATTTTTAACTAAAAGTATATTTTTTTATAAAAAAAAACAACTTACAATTAATTAAGACGTTTCGTTTACGTGAAATTCGAATTTCATGAATCCTTCTTTTGGTTTAAAGTCAAAAGACCAGGAAAGTGTATCTTTGGATTTTACAATTTTTGTATTTTTTAGTAAATGAACACCTTGCTTTATGTGCTGATCCCAAATTATTGGTTCGCCTGGTTTTATAATTTCTTGCGGTCCTGAGGATATAATTATATCATTGTCTAGTTTCCAATCTATCCATAGTGCGATTCCGTTGCACGATCCATCGCTAAATAAAGCAAAAGTCTTGATAAATAAACGTGTATTGATAAACAATGATAAATAATTATTTTAAATTACTTTAAACTAAGTTATAATTTTTAAACAATTATATTATAAACTTATTATTTATAAATGAATTTACTTTCTAATTTAATTTACTAAATTTAAATAATTTAATTATTAAATTTCGAATCTGTATTCTAAATTCAATTAGAAGATTCTTAATAATTTTACTAAATATTTAAGTATATTTACTTACACTTCGAATTTAATATTTCCGGTTAGAGATTCTTGATTCTTTTCTAAAACATTTTCAGCCAAGTCAAAATTTGCTACTTCGAATGGCGAACTAAGAGCGTTTCCAAAATATTCCCATAAAGGTTGTGCTTCGACTGGGGAATCACTTTTTTCACTAGAATCCTAAAAACACAATTTAATAATTTATTTATTTATTTTTCTCTAATACAAATTCATTATAAATTGAAATGTTAAAAAATTAAATACAATACCTGTACCAATTCATCGAATATCGACAAATTGAAACCTTCGCAATCACCAATTGACGTGCGGATTTTTTGTAAATCTATAAACTCCATGGGAACAGCGTGTATTGTCGCTTGCACTGGAAATTTTGGCACATTTGGAAAATGTTTTGACCCAATATACCAGAATCGCAAATTATCCCAGGGCAAAATGGAAGTCAAAAAGAATGGTTCGCCAATAATGAAATCAATTTTTCTATCCGTGGGAAAATCATTCAACGAACTGATAATTTCTATTTGGTCCGTTAAATTATTAGCTTCGACAAATGTCTCCATTGCTCTTCTCGATATTGCAGTTGGTTCAAAAACAATTACTTTCTTTGCGCCAAATTTAGCGGCAATTATACCTAATAAAGATCCCTCTGAGATGCATAAACACGTCGTGCTGGAATTAATTTTTCTCCTCAGCATTTCAATGTATTTTCCATTTCTACACGAGTCATTTAATTGACTAATTCGATTTCTCGTGTAGGCTAAATGCAGACAACAATTGCACGAGGGTATTTCAAAGTCCTCGGGGTTCACTCTGCAAACGGAATTTTTTTTAAGTTAGTACCTTACAAAAATTATAAAAAATAAGAATTAAAAGAATTAAAAAGTAAAGATAAGAATAAGAACTAAATAATAATTTACAATTTTTAACTAAATTATAATTTACAATTAATAACTAAATCATAATTTATAATTAATAACTAAAAAATAATTTATAGTTAACAACTAAATAATAATTTATAATTAACAAGTGAATAATTATTTTTAATTGATAACTAAATAATTTATGATTAATATTTTTAATAATGCAAGTTAATTAATAGTCGAAGTGACGAAAAGTAAAATAAATTTAGTTGCTTTTGAAATTGACTATTAAACTCACTCTAGATCGTTTTTTAAATTAAACCAAAAGGAATATTCGTCGTGACATCCAATGAGACTGACTTCGTGATTCATTTGAATTGGAGTTTCTGCTGGTAAGTGATAAATTGCTTGCATCCAATGATCTCGCCAAGGTATTTTCCGAGTTAACAAATCCTGATCTATTCCTTTTTCAACGTCAGATTTTACAAAAGGATGCTCCCAAACAGGCGCACAACTAAGAATATTCTACGAAAAATAAAAATTTATTCGTTAATTTTCCTTTTCAATTTAATTTCATTTAATTTAATTCCTTTTCAATTAATTAAAATTGAATTACATTATACCTCTCCTTCTGTATCCATTTGTATATCCCACCACATAAATACAGCATGCGCTTTACCATTTGCAATCGGTTTCACAGGAACGGAAGTTTTTTCATCAAATTGCAAAGGTACTTTTCCAGACCAATCAAAGCTGAAAATAAAATAAATTCTCATTAATTCTAATATTTAAAATAAAGCTTAAGCAAAATAGTTAACTTACTGAAATATTTTTTGCGGAGGTAATAAGGGTTTGAAACTCTCGAGCGATATTCGACTGAGTTGTAAATCTTGAACAACAGCAGATCCGTAACATTTGTTCAAAGAATAATTTGTCTCAAATAAAATTCGTCCATCATTGTCTCGAATAGTATTTAATTTATTCCAATTTTTCACCAATTCACTTTCAATTACTTGTATCCAAACTGTGCCTTTCGACGGTATAACGATACTGTTTTCCTAAGAAATGACAAATTCGCTACAAAAAACATGTTTTACTTTTCATTAAACACGAAGTATGAAATAGTGACTATATTTTCAGGAATATGAACATTTTATAAATTATATTTTTCTTTATGTTCACAAAAATTTACATTACTCCAAAAAATATAGTCACTTTAATATTTACTTTTGTATTTTCTAATTACTAACTAATTTTATTTTCAATATTTTCAATTTATTAATATTTTAAATATTTAAAAATTTTAAATAATTTTCAATTTTAGAATATATAAAAGAACTATTTTTTACTTCTAGCAAAACGTGACTGGCATGATGAAAAGTTGATAGAGCACCTTCTCCTATTAATTCCGTGTCAAATACTTCGGCTACCAAAATATTAGGACGTTTTTGAATATCTCCATCTTTGCCAACAGTCAATGCAGTCGATGGTTTGTGTATTAATTTTATTATATTGTCAAATCCATTGGCTTTGATTATTTTCTCAGCACAAAGCGCCATTGGTTTAAAAGTCTGAAATAAAATTAGAAATAAATACATTTTTTTAAATATTAAAAATATAAGTAATGATTTTTAAACTTGGTCATCTTTAATTATTATAAAACATGAAGATAATAATTGCTCCGAGTCGAAGACTCGGAGTGATTGTTATCTTCATGTTTAATAGTAATAAAAATAAAATTTAGAGAGAGAAAATAATTTTGCAGCTAGATAAATTGAGAAATATTTAATAATAATTAATTAACTAAATATAAAAAAAGATAAATTTACTTCGCAAGCTATCACAGAATCAGCACCACATTTTGCTGCCATCATTGACAATAATCCGGTTCCAGTTCCAATATCCAGAACATTTGCTTCTTCTCCGTTTTTGTGCTTTTTATCAATTGCCGATTTGAGAGCAGAATAATATTTTTTATTCTGAAAATTCAACATTTATTTTAAAAATAATTGATTTATACTTATACTTATAATATAAAAGCGACAATAAAATAATTTCCAAAATGATCTATTTCTGTGAATCGTTATTTAGAAATAAAAATATTTCTGACCCTCTCCTCATCATGTAACATATCGGCGAACGCAGATCTGGCAATTTCCTGATGATAATCATAGTCTGAGTGCTTTTCCTCCCAAGTGAGAATTCCTATCAATGGATTCAACCATTGTGTAAAGACACTCATTTTCATAAATGGTAAAAACTTTTTTGGTTGTAAATTTACAATATTCTGAAAGGAAAATTCGGTATTTATCAGAAATTTAGTTTGCAAAATAAATTTTATTAAGTAAAATAAAAAATAATGGTTAAATTATAATTTGTAAATATGTACAAATTGCGTACTAAATATGGGTTCAATTATAATTAATCTGTTTCTTTGAAGTGTTTAACAATTAACGAAAAAAATTAACAAAACAAAAACATCGAAATCTGGAAAAATGTAAACATAAGTAACTCACTTTGTTTACAATATACAACTTTTCAAAAATGATACTTGTCATAAAGACGAATATTTAAAGTATATTATTTATAAAAACAGAATAATGTCAAATACCTAACAGATTATTTTATTTAATTATTTTATAAATTAGATCTAAAAACTGCACGATACACGCACTCACATGTTGAACATAACCTAACAAAACGAACTAAATTTCTTTAATCACGTACTTGAAAGTTCTCTTTTGTTTCTTTTACACATTTTCCCGTCAAATATTATTTAATTCATTATTTAAAATCTTTTCTACTTACATTTATTTTCGAATAAATATTCATAAATATAAATTGTATAAATCAGAGATGCCATTAGGCGGAGGAATTTCATCCCCACTCTTGCGCCATTTTACATTGACTTAAATGTAAAATGGTGCAAGAGTGGGGATGAAATTCCTCCGCCCAATGGCATCTCTGGTATAAATTATTATCATTTGTATTTCCAGGGTTGAGAATCTCTTGTAAATATTCTTCCCTTATGGTCAATACACACGGAGTGAGTGCAGAAAAAAATATCCAACGACCAATCAGAATTAATTCCATGATTCTCCCCTCGTCTTTGATTGGTCGAACAATTTAAAAATTCTCTTCTGCTTTATATGGAATTTAATTTTTATTCACTTTCTAACAAAGAAATCAATTGCTGTTTTTGTGAAAAAACATCAATTATTTAATAAACAGTAAATATATTTTTAAGGAATAAATATTTTCCTTGTTTGTAAATAAAATTTGAGTGTAAAAATTGACAAGTAAATAGATAATTAAAGGTGTACTTGTAATTGGGCGCGGGTATTACTTTCATGCGCAGTTATTAATGCGCAGCGTCCGGCACGCACGATAAACTCGTCTATGACGATGTTTCCGTGAAAAAGTTGCGGTTTTCCGCAAATTGGCTGATGAATTTCATAAAAAATCCACTGAAAACATCCTCGTCTGGACGAGGTTCGTGAATTGACGACATTTTTCGAGGTCGAACAAGCGTCATAGGTGAGTGAAAAACATTTTTCTAAATCGGTGTGCTTGCTGCTGGCCCTAACGAATCAAACAAGATGGCCACCAGGGTATTCTTGGCGGTTCTGTTTATTTTTCACCGAATATACATTGCAATTTCATTCCAGCTATTAATTCACCACAAAAAGTTTATTTCTCCCTGTAAAATTAATGGAAATTGTAAATTTTTTCCATTCCTAATGTCGCGTGTCATTTTAACATGACCTATGGAAAGAGTTGATCTAGGTGATTGATAGCAACGTGCTAAAACGATTATTTTCTTGTCTGATATAAATTTTCCTTTTTATCTCTAAAACTCCCCCTTATCGTGTTGATTAATAAAGTGAATAAAGTTAATTAATAATTTTTTCATTTCTTTATTTCTTTATTTGAAATATGAACAAGTTTCGTTATTGATCATATGTAGTTTCATAACCTATTTATTTTTTTATTGTTATTTGAATTATTTTTATTTCTTGTCCTTGCCAATCTTGGGGAAATATTTTTGATTTTAGAAAGTGCAAGATGTCTAGTTCAATCATCGTGGAACCTCGGGATAATGCTACAAGAAAAGATGACACGTTAATTATTATGGTTAACGATGACGGAACAATTTCTGTTGACGAAGAGACTTTGCAAAATTTAATAAGTGAGCATATTTTAATCTATTTAATTCATTTAATTTAATACTTTTCAATTATTCCTGAGTGAGTAAATTTTAATTTTTTGTTTGATTTAAGAAAAGGTGAACAAATAATATACTGAACGTTGTCATTACATTACAATCGATTTCTTCACCTTGCAATAAAATATTTTCTTTTTATTAAAAAAACTTTGGAAAGAGTTTTATTATTATTTTTTTTTTTTTTGGTTTTAGTGGAAAGTTTTTTGAAAAAGAGAATTTTTATTCCGAGGTGAAGAAATTTGTTCCTAAATTTTTTGGGGTTACAGTGAATCAGGCGAATGCGAATGTTAGTGTTGTGAAGTTGGGTCAAACGGAAGGTGACGCTGAAAACGGCGATATTACATTTACTGTTGATCCACCACGTACAACGGTAGCTTCGGAAATTACGACAACATCAACAACAACAACAACCTCAAGTACTGAGGGAGCAGGACTCGTTGATCCTTTTATGGAAATGGATCCCGAGCAATTGGAACGATTAGAAACTGCTTTGCAGAGCGAAGAGGCTAAACAAATTCTCGGTGAAAATGTCACTGCGATGTTAGGTAATTTATTTTTTTTTATTTTAATTATCCAAAAAATAGAATTTGTAAATTTAAATACAGTACAAATTTTAAATACAATTTCTCATCTTTTTTACTTTTTAGACATGTTGACTGTTGAGGAAAGGCAAAACTCGTTGAAACACAGTATCGAGTTGGATCATTGTTACACAACAAGATTGTCTCCATCGGAACCTAAAGTTGTCGATCCTCTACCAATCACAGCATCGCCGGAAACAATTCAAAAATCACATTCAGTCTCTACGACTCCAACTGCTCCATCGCCGGCAGTGAGTCCCGCTTCTGCAACTGCAGCTGGAAATTTAAAAACTGTGAGTAGGATGAAAGAAAAACCTTTTCTTATTTGTTTTCAAAAAAATAATTTTCCCTTTTCTTATTAAGAAGAAATCTGTGACGGGACGGCCTAGAAGAAGTGCTGCTGCATCTTTCATAGGGACGCCAAAGACTGCCGGGAATGCAGCTTCCCGAAATGCGAACGCTTTTCAAGATAAAAGTAAGAGAAAAACAAATTCTTAAACTTTTTTTTGCTCACAAAAAGTTATTTTTTATTTTAACGAGCAATCTTTGTTTCCAGGTGGTCATAAAACGAATGATGATGATGCTGAGGACGACAATTCCTCATTGGACATGACTGAATCTTCAGAATCAGATTCTTCGGACAATGATTCCGACTTTGGACCCCGAGGACCAAGGAGAGGTGGCGTCAGAGCAAGAGGAGGACGCAAGGGTCTCACCACAAGGGGAGGAAGCATCTCCGCCCGGAGACGAGGCTCAAATAAACGTCTCGACACCGAACAAGTGCGGCGACTCGATAAAGAAATGGCAGCCGCCGTCGATGCCATGAAGAGTCCCGAAAAAGAGGAAAAACCCGGTAAGAAAAGAAGGAAAACAGTACACAAATTTTACTAAAATTTTCACTAAATATAAATCAAATTTAATTAAATAAAAGTAAATTAAATATTTATCTAAAAAAGAAAAATCGAGAAATAAATATAAACGAATATAAATATATAAAGAAAATAAATATAAATGAATAATTAAATTAATAATAATAAAAATAATAAATAATTTACAAAATTTGATATTTAAAACTATTTTTAGTTTAGCGATTAAATTAATTTAAATCTACTCGATTTCGACACTTTTTTTAATTTTCAAAAATAAAATTGCTTTACAGAAAAAGTGCATGTAAAGACAAAGAAACCGAGAGTGATGGGAGGAAAGAAAAAAGACGAGAGCATAACGCCAATAGCAACACCTGAGACGTCGCCAATTGTTCATAAACCATTGCAAACGACAAATCAAGTAAAGGCAAATTTAATAAATGCCAATATGATCAAAGGCGATATGATATTGACGAAACCAGGCGAGGGTCGTAATCAAAATCAAAAGATAATTTTCGTTCAAAAGCAAATTTTAATGAAATCAAATGAAATGAAACAACTCGAAGTGAAAAAGACGTCACCCCTTATTTTACCAAAAACCAAAGTAACACAAAGTCCAACGAGTTCGAAAATAACAACAAAAGATGGAAAATTAGTAACGATACCAATATTACCAAAATCAATAGTACACAGTACGCCTGGTAATCAACCGAAAATAGTAACACTCGGTCAATTACATGCCCAAGAACCGATTCAAATATTACAATCAAGTTCCGTACAGCAGCAACAACTACAACAACAGCCGCAGCAACAACAATCACAGCAGCAACAACAACTACAACAACCACAACAGTCATTAATTCCAAATCAAAAAATACAAATTTTCACATCGCCAATTAAAGTGAAATGTGTTGAAGTTAAAAAAGAGAAGAAAAAGTCTGACAATCTTCAGGAAAATTTATTAAAGATTAATGAAGAAATGAAAATTGCCGAAATTGGAAAATCGACAGATGTCAAAGGAACGCCTGAAGGTTTATATTTTAGATATAAATATAATAAATATAAATAATGTAGATATTTTTATAGAAGTCGATTTTGTTTGAATATATTGAGAGAATAATTGTTTATCATTTGTTTTTAACGACAATTGGATTATTTTAATCTGTAGCTTTTATTTAATAATGCATAATAATTTTTTATTTATTTTTCTTCGAATTAGTTTAGTATTTAAAGTTTTAAAAAAACTGTTTTTGATTTTATAAAGAGAAATTTTATCACGGTGTGTGTTTTATAAAAACTTTCTCCAATTGTTGTTAAAGATTCAATTTTTGTTGAGTGTTGTATTGAAAAATGTAAAAGAAAGAAAAAAGTTATATGAGGCTTATTTATAATTAATACAAACTAATAAATACATTTATTTTTTATTTGCTATCTGCTAATTGCTATTTGCCTATTAATCATCACTGAAATTTTTTTTGTTTTTAATTCACGATATTTTTGTTACTTCATATTTTTACTGTATTTGATTTGCTTTATTATTTTATTAAAATATTAAAATTATTACTCGAAAATTTAATTTTTCAATTATTTAAAAATAAAGAAATTGTTTTATAATTTAAGTTTTCAAATTTAATTACATAAATCGAGAGTTATTTTGGATTTAAAAATTTTTAATTTTCGTTTTTATTTGGAAGTAAATTTTTGTTTCAGTTGCAAAAAAGCATCATCATCATCATCAAAAGAAGGATAATCGAAAATCGCCGGCGACATTAGCTTGTGCATTGGGACCAGCTTTATTTTCCACGCCCGATATTATTCGTCGTGTTAGCGTTGGGAATGAGACAAAATCGGAGGCAAATACTCCAACAACTCCAGTGACGTCAACTTCTAATTCGCCTGTTTTTAATCAATCACAATCGGTGACGACTACTCCGACGCATTTAACTCCGTGCTCTTCGACGACTCCTGTTAAAAATACGGAAACAATGACGATTCCGAAAACTTCGCCCGTTGCAGTTGAGGCAATTGGGGAAAAAACTGTCGACGAAGTAAATCAATTGCAAACTTCCATGGCAATGGAAACTGAACCCGATTTGAATACAACACCGATGACTAAATTAAATCCAAGTTCGTTAGATGAAGCAAATTTAGAGGAATCTATGGAAGTTAATAACGATAACAATGGAGTCAGTGAACCTGCAAAAGAAACAAAAAGTCCTGATAAAGTTCCTCTGGCCGAGGAATTACAATCATCATTAGATCCTGGTGAGTTTTCCTTTTGGTTTTTCATTAATTTTTGCATGTCGTTTGTTTTGATAAATTGGCTTTCTTGAGAATGAGTATTTTGGAAGAAAAGGAAAGTAGAAAAAATTAATTGCATGAATAATTAGAAACAAAAATTTCTTTTTCAAGACTAGAAAAATAAATCTTACAAAAATTATTTATTTTATTAATTAATTATTTATTTACTTTCTAAATTTAATTTTCCTAAATTTTCAAATTCTCTTAAAGAGTAAAATTTCAGGGCTCGGATTGTGCGATTTTTTTCGACTTTTTTAAGAAAATGCGACCTTTTTTGTGAAAAAATTTCAAACATTTTTGAAATTAAACAACTTATAAAAAATTCTTGAAAAACATGAAAAAATCGATCACTCCGAGTCTTCGACTCGGAGCAATCGATATCTTCTTGTTTTATAATAATTAAAGATGACCGAGTGATAAAATCATTATTTGATATTCTAAGAAAATTGTTACTGTAACAATTAACTTCTTTAAAATTATTTTTATCATTTTAATTTATTTATTATTTTCTAGAATTTTCAATTATTTTTTATGAAAATAATTCAATTCCTTAAGAAATTTTTTATTATTTATCAAAATAATGGAATTATTGCGAAGAAATTTATAAAAAAAATTTGTAAATAATTTAATTTCTGTGAAATTTTTGTTATTTATGAAAATAATTAAATATTCGCGTACAATTTTATTAAATTTTTTTTAAATTATAAAAAAATAGTAGAAAAAATAAATTTTTCAATAAATAATAATCAAACCGATTATTCGATTAATTTAGTATTTTTTTTCCTTTAAAAAATAATTATTACGATTAAAAATTATTTTTGTGTCTCATTGCAAATAAAAATAACTACAAATAAAATATTTTTGATAACGCGGTGCAAAAAAGGGCACTTTTTTGCGCCTTGTTATGAAAAATATCGTTCGTAACTAGTGCGAGCAGTTGTCAATTTTGGAATGAGCACTTTTTTTGTTTGTTCCAAAAAAAAGTGCTCGTTCAAAAATAATAATTATCTTGATATCTTCTACAAATAAAATTAAAATTCTTAAAAATGAGATTAATTTCATTGATGTTTTAAGTTTAATTCTCGTCAATATTTTAATTATCTTTATAAACTTTAATAAAATGCATTACAAAATACAATTATTTTCATAAATAACAATATTAATCACAAAAATTCAATTATTTTAAAAATTAATTAAATTATTCGCAGAAATTCAATTATTATCTTCAAGAAATCTAAAAAAAATTGTGGTCAACATGTCAATTATCTTTATAAATAAATGAAAATAATCTTCGACAAAGTTCAATTATTTTGAGGAATTTTAATAAAATTCATTGCAAAATTCAATTATTTTCATAATTAATAGTATTCATCACAAGAATTCAAATATTTTCAAAAATTTTAATAAAAATCATGGCAAAATTTCAATTATTTTCAAAAAAAAAAAATGTTTACATTAATTCAATTATTTAAAATAGAATTTGCATAAATTTTTTTGCAAAAATTAATTTTTTTAAAAAAGTCATTAAATTCTTCGCAGTAATTCAATTATTTTCAAAAATTTTAATGAAATTCATTGCAAAATTTTAATTATTTTCAAAAACTTTCTTAATTCAATAATTTGTATATATCAATTATTTTAATATAAATTCCCAATAAAATTCAATTATTTAAAAACAATTTTGATTGATGTTTCTTAAATCGATGCTGTTGTGAATTTATGTGACTAAAGCGACTTTTTTTGGGTCTTAAAGTCGATCCGAGCCCTGAAATTACGTAATTTAATAAATTTTAAGATCAAACCTAAATTTTAATATTATTTCATATATTTTAATATTACTAGTAGTATAAATTTAGTATATTTTCAAAATTAATAAACTAGAAAATGTGAAAATATACTTTTTAGATTTTTTTAGAGACTTTACGTTCAATCTTAATGTAAGACAAAAGTAGCGAAATCTAATTTTTAAATTTATTTAATGAAAATGATCTCTTCTGTAAACTTTTAATGCTGTATTTCAAGTAATTAGCACAGCATGAGAATAGAAGAATTTGTCAATTTTGTGCGATGGTGGGAGAACTTTTGTTTTTCTTTTTCGCATTTATTGCTTATTATTGTGTATTTAAAATTTTCTTCTTTCTTTAAAGAAAAATTGTCTGTTTTTGAATTTTTTGTATTTAAAATTTTTCTTCTAAAAATTTTTATTATTTGAAATTTTTTTTTTTGAAAATTATTATTTTGAAATTTTTTTTCTGGAATTTTCTATTTTGAAAATTTGTTATTGTTTAGCAAAATTTTTGATAACTCAATTTTGCAGACTCATCTTTCAACTAAAATACGAATGATAAATATTCTTTCAGTTTAATACTCTGGCTTATTCTCTATTATTGAAAATTTCATTAAAGGTTGTTGTACACTTTAGTGTTGATTGTATGATTATTTTTGCAAAACTCGTATTTTTTGTTATTTACCAAATACAGTTCCACCTGAGGGAGTTTCCCAACGAATGGAACAACCCAATGTTCCAAATGATATTGTTCCTAAACAAAGTAAGTTTCACTATTGTATTATTTTTCCTTTTGTCATTTACAATGATCGATAAATTATAATTTAATAAGAAAAATAAATGTATTTGAATTTCTACTATGACACAAAATCTTGTGTAAACAGTTTTCTTTTTTCTTTTTCTTTCTTGGTATTTGATAAGTTATTGATTTTGTAAATAGTGGATGTAATTTTAGAAACAACACTGGAAAGTTTTTTGTGAATTAAAATTATTTGAATGTATTTTCTTTTTTGGGATTTATCTTTTTATAGAATAGAAAATGTACTGTTTTGATATTTGATTCTTTTATTTTATACAATTTCTTTTTATTTTTTTAGCCGGAATCGAAGGAGAGGAACAGCTTCTAGCTACGTTGGAGATGGAGGCGACAAAACACGAGGATGATTTATTGGCTGAAGCTTTGTTACTTCAAGAGGAACTCGGCGTTGATTTGGCTGTAAGTTTTTTTTTAATTTGCAACTTAATATACTATTTTTATTTTTATTACTATTATTAATTAACTAAAAAGCAAATTCAGTTTTTCTTTTATTTATTTTTTAAATAGAAAAAATTAATTTTTCACTGTATTGGAAAATTCTAACACAAATATTGTATTGATTAATTAATTAATTAATGTTTAGTCTGGATTGGACCAGTCAGCAGATTCCGAACCACTTTTGTCACCGTCGGCATTCTCATCTGTTTTATCGCCGAAACAACAGACGGAAGTGAAGGTTGTTGCAACGGCAACAGTTGAACCCTTCAAAGCGACCCAACAACTTGATCAATTAAAAAAGAAAGAGGATAAGGAGCCAATTCAAATAATACGTGGTGGGCGTGTTATAACTTTACCTCCAATCGAAGCACCAGCAACGCGGAGTAAAAAATTGCAAGCCATGGGTGATAAACCCCAGCAAAAGGAAATAATCGTCGTAAAAGAAGAAAAAAAGCCAAGGTGAATTTTATAAAAGAAAAATGAAACCTAAAAATTATTTTTTAGATTCTTAATTTTTTTATTTAGATTTAAAATTATCTGAATTTTAAATATTTAGAAAATTGGTAGAAATTCTTTTTTTTTGGCAAATTAATTACCTTCTTTCTTTTTTCTCCTTTTTAGCAGATCAAGTTTAAGTGAATTTATTCCGAAGGAAGATGTAGATTTAGATGACGAATTCGAGGACGAAGGCGATAATTCTGATTCTGAAGACGATCCAGATCGTTTGTGGTGTATTTGTAAAAGGCCGCATAATAATCGCTTTATGATTTGTTGCGATGTTTGCGAGGATTGGTTTCACGGCAAATGCGTCAATGTCAGCAAAGCTATGGGTAAATTTTTCTATTTTATTTTCATATTCCACTTTTTGGTTAATTTTTTCCCCTTCAAATTCTTTTTGTCAATTTTATTTTCCCATTAACTTCATAATTTTCTAAAGTTTCCTATCAAAACTAATTTTATTTTTTTTATTTCAATAATTAAAATTATTAATTAAAATTGTGTTTACAAAAAAAATTTATTTAATATTTTAATAATTAAATAAAAAACTATATATTTATTTATTATTATTTAATTTTCAGGACAACAAATGGAGGAGCAGGGAGTTGAATGGGTGTGTCCAAATTGTGCTAAGAAAAAAGCTGAAGAAACGAGAGTAAAGCATGCTTCGCCAGTGGTATCGAAACGTAAATCGACTGAAGCTCTATTCCAAACATTGGACGGCAAATCGAGTGGATTGCCGAATAAAAAATTGCCCGCCACCGATGGACCGTCAACTGAGAAAATAGCTCAAGGCTCTGGAATAACGCAGTGTGTCGTTTGCAAGAAGGAAGCTAGAAATTCCAGTATTTATTGTTCTGATACTTGCATTTTGGCACACGCTCAAGAAACATGCACCAAAGATAAACCAGCTACAACACCGTCGCCAAAAGCGCCGAAACAAGATTTTCTCAAAGGCAAAGTCGATGCTCGAGTTATGGTTTACGATCGAAAAACGGGAAAAGTTCTTTCAGGTAAATTATCCGTAGCGTTTTCTTTCTTTTACAAGTTTACCATTTCTTTTAATTATTTTTTTATTTTTTGGAAAACTTACAATTTTCTGAATTTCTTTTTTTTCATGGTTTTAAATTTATTTACAACTAGCAAATAATTTGCGCGCTAGAGCGGGGAACTCGGTACTCCATTTCTGATTATTTTGTAAATTAAAAAATGTTATATTTTCAAAAATTCAGATAAAATCCTTCGAAACAATTTAATTATTTTTATGAATTGTAAAATCATCCGTAAGAATTCTAAATATTTAATTATTTTCACAAATAAGAAAATTCTTCGTAAGAATTAAAATATTTTAATAAATTATAAAATTCTACAAAGGAATTCAATTATTTTCATAAATAAGAAAATTTTTCGGAGAAATTCAATTATATTCATAAATAATAAAATGTTTCGGAAAAATTCAATTATTTTCATAAATAATATGTATAATGTTTCGGAGGAATTTAATTATTTTCAATTTTACAATTTTAATAACATTTCTCGAAAGAATATAATTATTTTTAAAAATATTTAAATTCAATTATATTCAAGAGTTTTTGTAAAAATTTTATTATTTTCAACAATTTTGATAAAAAATTCTTCGAATCAATTCAATTCTTTTTATAACTTGTAAAATTCTTGGCAAGAATTCAATTATTTTCATAAATAATAAAATGTTTCGGAGAAATTCAATTATTTTCAAAACAATTTTAATAAAATTTCTCAGAAAAAATTCAATTATATTCAAGATAATTTTAATAAAATTTCTCTAACAGGTTCAATTATTTTTAAAAATTGTAATAAAATCTTTCTAAACAATTCAATTGTTTTCAAAAGTTTTGAATAAAATTCTTTGTAAATTTCAATTATTTTCAAAATTTTTAATTAAAATTACTTTAAAAAATGTAATTATTTTTACGAAATTTAATGAAATTCTTCAAAAAAAATGTAATTATTTACAAAAACTTTAATAAAATTGTTCAAACGAATTTAATTTTCTATGAATAATTTTAATAAAATTTAATAGGAAACTCGTTAATTACAATTAATAAGAAACACACTTATTTTCGAAACTTAAAAGAAATTCTTCTTAAAATTCAATTATTTAAAAAACTTCTTTAATTCCATGAAAATTGAAATAAATTCTTTAAAACAATTCAATCATTTTAAAGAATTTTAATAAAAATTTTGCCAACAATTAAATTATTTTCAATACAATTTTGAATACATTTTCTCTAAAGAATTCAATTATTGAAAAAAATTTCGATAAAATTCTTGAAATGAATTGAATTCTTTTCAAATTTTTTTTATAAATATTTTACAAGAATTCAATGATTTTTAGTACATCGACAATTTAATTATTTTTGAAAATAATTGAATTCTTTAATAGAATTTTATTAAAACTTTTTTACATTATTGAATCCCTGCGAAAAAATTTATTATTTCTACAAATAATTGAATTTTTGACAAGAATTTGAATACAATTGTATTTAAAATAATTGAATTCCTGTGAAAAATTTACTATTTATTAATACTATTGAATTCTTTCGATGAATTTAAAAAAACATGTTTAAAAATAATTGAATTTTCCCTGGAATTTAATTAAAATTGTATTTAAAATATTTGAATTTCAGCGAAAATTTCATTATTTCGGAAAATAATTGAATTCTTGAATTGAATTTTATTAAAAGTTCTTTAAATAATTGAACTCCTATGAAAAAATTCAATTATTTTTTAAAATAATTGAATTTTGTCGGAGAATTTTAACAAGATTTTTAAAAATAATTTAAATTTTCGAAGAAATTAATTAAATTAATTGTATTGAAATTGTATTGAAAATTTTAAACATTTAAAAAGAACAATTATTTAAAAAGTTAGAAAACAGCAACTACCTTCAAACTGCGAACCGATTACCGGAATACGATTATTAATATAGATTTTCTAATTTTTAATTAAGGTGCCGGAGCTCCGACGGCGGGAAATCTCAAAAATTGGCTCAAGGAAAATCCATCCTACGAAATTGTTCGACCAAATAGTTTGAATACTTTTAAAATCGCTGGAAAAACAGTCACGGCTATTCAAACGCAAGATTCTCCTAAACAGGTATTTTTTTCTCCTTTCTTCTTTTAGTTAAGAAATATAATTTCAACAATTCTTCGGATATAAAAAATTCGCTATTACCAATAAAAAGTTTTTTCTTATTTTTTTTCAAAAATATTTATGTTTATATTTAAAATGTTAAAATAAATATTATCTTTTATAGCTAAAAGTATCGCCAGTGAGACGTGAAAAAATGCAGTTACATCCAAAAATGGTTTTCGCTAAAGTTCCGGGTTCAAAGCAAACAATTCTAGCCGCAAGTGCAAAGAAAACGGTTATAGTTCCTCCTGAAAGTATGGGAACAGCAATAAAAATAAAAGTACAACAAACGCAAAAAATTCCAATTTTAAGGCAAACAATATTAAAGACACCATTGTCATCACCATCGCCAGCGTCACCGGTACAAAAAGCACAAGTAACGCCTAAAGTGATAAAACGACAGGAGCCAAAAACACCAACTCAAGTTAAACAACAACCAATAAAATCACCGATTACACTTGCCAAGAAACCCGAGACAGAACCAATACGCGTAAATGTACGTAAAACAATGACAGACGCATTGATTGCACGAGTTAAAGCCACTGATGATTTAAAATTAACACAAGAAGAAATCAAGGACCTTGCCCTCAATATTGAACTCGAATTATATAAACATTTCAAGGACACAGGTACTAAATACAAGGCAAAATATCGTAGTCTCATTTTTAATATCAAGGACCCAAAGAATTTAACATTATTCCGAAAGATTGCCGACAGATCATTAACGCCCGACGCAGTTGTTAGATTAAGTCCCGAGGAAATGGCCAGTCAAGAATTAGCCGAATGGCGTGAGAAAGAAACAAAACATCAACTCGATATGATTAAGAAAAATGAATTGGATCTCTTGGCGCAGGCAAAGTCAATAGTGGTAAAAACACATAAAGGCGAATTGGTAATTGAAAACGATCGTGTCAGTGATCCAGTTGATTCAAAATCGTCCGTTAACGATATTGTGACAGTGTTGAATAATATCGATTCGACAGAGACGAAGAAAAAGGAGGATATTGTCGATTTGAAGAAATTGAAAATCGAGGAGAAGAAAGATAAGGAGAAGCATCGTTCGCGTGATCGTGAGAAGGGAAAGAAACGTGACAGGAGTAAAAATCGTCATCGTCATAGTCGTGATCGTGAGAGGAGTAAGGATCGCAAATCGGGAAAGAACAAGGATAAGAAGGAGAAAGATAGGGATCGTGAGCGTGATAAAGAAAAGGGTCGAGATCGTGACAAGGAGAAGAAGCATAAGAAGAGTAAGAGCAAGAGTCACAAGAGTCATAAAGATTATAAGGAGAAGGAGAAAAAGGAAGAGGAGAGGAAGGATATCGAGAAGAAGGAGGTAACAACAACACCCCCTAGAGTTGAACCGCCAATTGAGGATCGTCTCTGGCGACATATTGACGACGAGACAACGACTGGTTTCGTTAATCTTGATGTCGATTCCGATCTATCGGATCGTGAACCAAGTTCAACGGTGAATATAAAAACGCCTGATATTAATGATGACTTTGAGAGGGAGAGAGAACCGGAACCAGAGGTAGATTTACCGAGAGGTCCACAACAGACAGTGTGGCGTGGTTTTGTCAGTATGCCCGATGTGGCGAAATTCTTCATCACAGCACAAGAAGTTAGTGGTAATTCTCGCGATCTAATGGAAGATTTACCCGATACCGTTGATGTTGTGGGTAGAATTGGACCCGATACGGTGTGGGATTATATTTCTAAAATGAAGAAAAATGGATCAAAGGAGATTCTTGTCATTCGTCTAACAGCCGCTAATGATGAGGAGAAAATTCCCTATATCACACTCTACAGTTACTTGAATAGTCGAAGTCGTCTTGGGGTCGTGAGAAATTTCTCAAACAGCATCAAGGATTTCTACATAATGCCATTTCCAAATCTCAGTAAAATACCAAATGTCCTGCTACCCCTGAACGGTCCCGGTTTCGAGGAACAACGACCTCCCCTTCTCCTGGGAATAATTGTCCGCAATAAATGTAAACGCATCGCATCCGCTCCACTACCTTCGTTATCGACGAAAATCCTGAAGAAAGATCCCGATCGTAGTTATACACCGCCATTGATACTTCCATCGCCGTTGGATAAGAATCCATCGCCACCCACTTCGCCTCGATTACATCACAAGGGAATCACCGATTCATTGCCTGACAGTAAACTCATCACTCAGCATACACTCGAGAGTTTGAATAAGGCGCAAATTGGAATGTCAAGAACGCTTCTTGATAGTGCAACTATTTCGAAAATTGTTCCTGAATTATCGTCGAGAATTGATTTGACGGCAAAAACACAGGAGGAAGATGATGATGAGCCGTACAGTCCGGGCGAAATGGATGAGGATTTGGATAATCTTAATGATGACGAGGACGATGATGATGATGTTGCTGTCGTTGGTGCTGATGATGGTTCAAAGGATAATGAGAGTGAATTATTGTCGACGAATAAGGATGCCAGTGAATTGCAGAGGAAAATGGATGAGCTGAATCGTCAGATTGAAGAGCAAAAGCAACAAATACAAAATATTAGTTCATCATTTCTTGGTGACGTGACAAATACATTGCCGGTGAGATATTTAAAAGATTTATTAAAAGTACTGGAAAAAATTAAATTTTTAGAATTCATAAGAAAGTTCTGAATTTTTGGTATCTTTTTGGTTTGCCTCATAAACTATGAAACTACCGTTAAATCAAATACAAAATCTTCAAAAAAAATTTCTATTTCTGACAAGAGTGAATTTTTTCAATATTATTTAATTATTTCAAAAGTTTTAACGCGATTGTCTTGATAAATAACAAAATTCTTCAAAGAAATTCAATTATTTTTAAGAATTTGAAAAAAAATTCTTGTCAAAACTCAATTATTTTTATAAATAAAAATATTCATCAGAAGAATTCAATTCTTATCAAAAGTTCTAAAATTTTTCGAAGAAATTCAATTATTTTTAGGAATTTAAAAAAAATTCTTGTTAAAATTCAATTATTTTCAAAAATAAAATTTTCATCACAAGAATTCAATTCTTTTCAAAAGTTCTGAAAATTCTTCGAAGAAATTCAATTATTTTTAGGAATTCAAAAAAAATTCTTGTTAAAATTTAAAATTCTTGTTAATTTCTTGTTAAAATTCAATTATTTTCAAAAATAAAATTTTCATCACAAGAATTCAATTCTTTTCAAAAGTTCTAAAATTCTTCGAAGAAATTCAATTATTTAAAAAATTTTTAACAAATATCGTGTCAAGAATTCAATTATCTTTATAAATAGCAAAATTGTTCGCCAAATATTCAATTATTTTCAAAAGTTTTTCGTAAATTCAATGATTTTTAATATTTACTATTTTCATAAAATTTATCAAAAAATTTAATTATTAAAAAAAAATTGTTGTTACAATACTACGAAAAAAATTCAATTATTTTTATAAATTAATAAAATTTCATTTAGGAATTCAATTATTTTCATAGCAGAATTTCAAATATTTTTAATACAATTTTAAATAAATTACTCGAAAAATGCAATTATTAAAAATTTTAAAACTTGACGAAAGAATTCAATTTTAAGAAACATTTAATTATTCAATAAAATAATAAAATTCGTTGCCATAATTAGAATATTTTCATAAATAACTTTTAGTTCGTCGCAGAAAAACAATTATTTAAGAAATTTTTTTAATAATTCTGCAAAAGAATTCAATTATCTTGATAAACAACAAAATTCTCCCCATAAAATCAATTATCTTAAGGAATTTAAAAAATTTTAATAACATACTTGAAACAGTTTTCAATTATTTTCAAAAATTTTTTTAAAATGTTTGAACATTTTAATTCCAATATAAAAATAATAATAATGATTGAATATTTATTTTAAGTAAAACTATTGATGTTTTTGAATAATTTTACAATTAAAAAAATTCTTAAATAAATGTAATAGAACATTTTTTGGAGTATCTAATAATTTTTAGAGTGAATTGGAATTTTTTTTAGGGTCAGGGAAAAAGTCAAAATTATGTCTGGAAATCAGGGAAAAGTCAGGGAAAAACAAAGTTAAATTTTTGTGGCAACCCTTATCATCCAAGGCTTCGACTTGTTAATTATTTGACGTCTTGGTTTAAATAAACGAATTTTTTCGATCCTCCATTTCCTTTTCCTCAAAACTGTTTCAGTTATGAGTGAGAGATTATGTTTTTTAAATTAGAGAATTTTACTTACAAGTTTGTTCATTAATTTTTTCTAATAGTTTATTTTTGATTACTTGTCAAGTTTATTTACTTATCTATTTATTTGTTCATTTATTTATTCAACTGTTTATTTTATTATTCATCTATTTATTTATTTTAAAATTTCAGAAAATTTATCGATTATATTTATTTGTTTATTTATTTAATCATTCAACTGTTTATTTATTAATTTATTAAAAAAATTTCTTTCTTTTTTAATTTCAGAGATTATTGATTATATTTGTTCATTTATTCAGTTCTTTATTCAGTAATACAAAATTTTTTCTAAAGTTATCAATTTTGTCAATTATTGAACATAAAATTTCGTTAATTCAATATTTTGTAAATTTATTTTACATTTTGTCCAGAATTTTTTTATCATCGAGTTGAACTAGTCTTTAAACTTACAAATATTTTGTTTTATTGATAGAAATGATCCCTAATTAATTATTTTTTATTTCTTTTACTGAAAGAGATTTTAACTTTTTAAAAAAATTAATTCGAATTGAACGTTCTTCAATTTTGTTTATATTTCTGTATTTTGCTCTTTTAATTGAAATTTTCAATTCTTTTAATTAAAGGAAGAAGTTAACAATTATGATTTTTAATTCTCGATTAGTTTTTAATTTCTTTGTCTTTATTCAATTGTTTTACAAGTTTTTCAATTGTTTTTCTTTTTTTCTGACTAAAAAAATTGAATTCGTTAATCTCATTAGATTTCGTTTAATTCTGTTAAAGTTATAAATTAAAAGAATACAAGACAATATTTTATTTATTGAAGAGTAGAATAATATAAAACATCTGTGATGGTAAATTTTGGATTTAAAGAAAATTTGTAAATATTTTGTTTGAAAAATGAATAAAAACATACATAACTTTTGGAAAAGAATTAAAGTACACCTAAAATCAGTTTTATTTTCTTACAAAATAGATTTTTGTTTAACAGAATACCAATCATGTGCCTTCCAATTGTTTTTTTTTATTATTAATAACTTTTAATAATTATTAATTAATTTGTTTAAGTTTTTTCCAATTCAATTTTACTAAAAGAATATGAATTTTTAGGGTCTGGGACTCGATCCGGAGACAAATGAAGGCGACGACGCGTACAGTCCATCGGACACGCGATCATTCACACCACCACCGCAGGGTTTGAAATTCACACAACCAATTTTGGATAAAGTCTCGGACATAACGATTCCACCGAATCTCCAGGAGATTCTCGCCAACGTGAAACGTCAGGAAACATCGAAAATCGATCCCTATCTTCCCTCGAAGCCAAGTGCATCATTCCTCACCTCAGTGAACACTTCAAGATCAACAGGAAAATCGGAGAAATATTCCTCCTTCCCCAAAGGAACCAGTTCAACACGTTTCAGCGGTGAAAAATCTTCCGAGTCGCAATCATCACCAGTCAAGGAAATCAAGACCAGCACACTCAGTTCAATGAGTGAATTGGATTTGATTAAAAAAGCCGCCGAACAATTGGCCAGTGAAACATTGCCAACAACACCGCCTCTGGTTATACCGCCGACACTTTATCCGACAATTGTCCCGCCACCAACGCCGGTGATGCCACCACCTCTACCACCGCCACCGCCAGCAGCCACTACAGTGCCAATGATTCCATCGTTGCCCGCAATTCCAATTGTCTCAACGATACCAATTGTTGGGACACTACCATCAATTGTACCGTCGCCAGTTTCAACACTCGTGACAAATCAAATTACAATGGTACCACCGCCAGTGACTGAAACGCCTGCTGATAATAATGATAAGACAATAACTTATCCAGCGTTAATTGGTGATGCATTGAAAACAAGTCTCGCTTCCAATCAGCCACGACCACCTGGTCTTGAGGAAGATGAAGTACCAAGTTTCTTGTCACCAACGGGAAAGGCACCCGAGAGTCCTTCCAAATCTGCGCTTCCAACAAAATTCATACCCAAAAGTGGTGTTGTGCTAAGTGTTAAACGAAAACTGAACGATAATGATTTGACGCCTTCCAAAATTCCAAGGACAAAATCATCAAGGTGGGGTCAACCACCACCTACGGAGTAGATTTTTTTTTTCGTTTATTTTTCCTTTTTTTCTCCCCCACCCAGGACTTACAAATTATTGTTGTGCGAATCGAATTGACGATTGGAAAATTCGTGTGAGTTGCGAATTTTTATTTTCTCGTACTTTTAGAAACACAAAACTCGGTGTTCTGGATGCTGGTGTGAAAATTAATGGCGAGAGTATTTTTTTTTCTTATGATTTGAACACTTTTTCCGTCTCTGAACAATGTTTTTAAATGAAATTTGTTTTATTAACTATTTTCTTGTTAAATTGTCAAAAAACGGAAGACGGATATTTGTTTTCAAATTATAAGGTTGTTATAGTTTTTTTAAAATTTTATTTTCAATACATAGTTTCATAACGAAACGAGCAAAAAAAAATTTACCAAAGTTTTCAAACTTTGCATTTTTTAAATCTCTATTTTCTAAATTGAAAAACAATCATATTTTATTCAATAATAATAAAATATGTTATTTATTTTTAAAAAAATAGGAAAGAAGATTAGTCTGAGATTTCGGAAATTGTAAAATTTGCTGTAGAAATTCGATTTTTTTTTTAAATTTGAATTCAATTGTATTGTTCAATACGAAAATTGAAATTAAAAGAAAAGCTTTTTAACTTTTCATAATGTTTGGATGGAAATTTAATCTATAATCACAAATTCAAATATTTATCATTTAAAAAATTGCACATTTTTTTCATCATACACAAAATTTCATTTATATTGTAAATTTTTTTTTATTAATTTTCAAAAAAAAAATTGTATTTATAGAGGGAAATTTTTTTGATTTACAAAATGCAATGAAACGGAAGGTAGCCGTAACTAAATTATTTAAAAAAATTACAGCAAAAATTAAAAATGTATCTAAATTTTTGCGTAAATTTGAAATTTTCTAAAATCAATTAATAATAGTTGCGGCTAGAAAATAGCGGATATCTTCAGTTTCATAACGAAATATAAATTCATTAACGAAAAAATACAATAAAAAAAAAAATACAAAATTACAAAAACTAAATAAAATTTACAATTAAACTTCTGAAATAATATTCACTAATAAAATTTACAAATAAAATTCAGCAATGAATTCACAAATAGAAAAAAATGAACGAAAAAATTTATAAATGAACAAAATTTCAATTGACAAATTTAAATACACAGAAATGTATTAAATTTGCAAGAGAAATAATTTGATTAAAACCAATTACCATTAAAATATACTATCCGTACTTTAAAAATAGAGATAAAAAAGTTCATTCGAAAATTTGTTTTTAATTAAAAAAAAGTAGATATCAATAAGGCTTGTAAAATGTAGAATTTTTCGTCGTATTTAATTGTAACAGCATCCAAGCACCTCTTCTGTAAATACCAAAGTGAAAAAAAAGATCGAAACACGCAGTACGATTCTTAATACCGTATATTATAATCACAGGCAAAAAAAAAAACAAAGAAAGGAATGTAAATAATCTAAATTAGGAAGTGTAAAATATTTTACGAAATTTCGAAAGGGAGAGCGAGCGAGCGAGAGAGAGTTTAAATCGAGAGAAGAAAAAAACGTTCACAGCATCACACTTGTATTGGCTGTGTAAATATCAAAAAAAGACAAAATATTTCTATGATAATGTTTTGTTAAAACAAAAAAAAAATGTGATTATGTCGAACGGTAAATAGAGTAAACGGCGTGTCTAAGAAATATTTCTTTTATATGTTCATCTAGCTTTGCAATTTTGTTTTTCCAATTTTTTTTTTTTTTTTATTTTTTTCTTTGAGACAAATATCGTAATTAGTTAATATTAGTGAAAGCTAGAGTAATTAAGAATTTTAGAATCAAGCCGAAACCAAAATATTCCTTTTTCCAGAAAAATTATTAAAGAATAATAATTAATAATAATTATTGAATATTAAATAATTAATAATTAATAAGTAAAATAATAAATTGTTTTCCATTTTTAAAATTTGCTATATATGTTAAATAAAGAACGTGTGAGTTTGAATAATTCAATTGTAAGGCACTTTTTAAAATACGTTATGTTAAGAGTGATTTTCAGTGTTCATTAATTTTTTTTTTCTCTGGTGAGATAAATATTTTTTATTAAAAAAAAATCACTCTTATGCACTCATTGCCAAGTTAAGAAAAAATTCTTAATGTTGTCTGAAACATTTTCCTCTTTTTTTTAAACAAAATTTTGGTTTTGGCACGAAACTATATTGAATGTGTTTCATTGTATGAATGATTAGAATTGTGTAAATTTCATTTATTAGAATAGTTATTGTGTAAACACTAATTACAAAAAATTCGATAAATTTCCATATAAAAAGCCATTTATTAAGAAAATTTCATTTTACTTTCTATAACGGAAAATTCATCATTATTTCACGATTAAAGAAAAAAGAATGCTTGATGCTTGGTGCCATAGATGTTCTCCGGTTTGCGTCGATTTTTGTAAATATTCATTGTCAACAATTTTCGAATATTAAATTCAACTAAGTAATTAATTATTAATTAATTAATTTATAATTTAATTAATAATTGATTAAATAGTAATTCATAAATTAATTAATATACTTGATTCATTATTAATTTGTAATTATTAATATGTAAATTAATTAGTAATTAATTATTATTAATTTATAAATTAATTAATAATTGATTATTATTCATTTATATGTTAATAATTAATCAAGTATTAATTTATTGAGCAATTATTAATTAATAAATTAATATTCAAAAAATTCTGTTTTCAAGATTATATTTTTTTTCAAGAGATAAATTAATTAATGTTTAAATTAATTAATAAATTACACTTAATGTAAGTAATTAAATATTACATGTTTTAGATATAGTGGATCATTTTTCGTTTCTTTTTTGCATCAAATATTTTAAAATGTGACGAATTTAAATGTAAAAAAGAAAATAGTGTGCGTATGTTTTCATTAATATTCTGGTATCCAGCATTCTTTGATTATTTTATTTCACTTTACATGGTAGGGAGAAGAGGCATTATTCATAAAAGTCGCACTACTGAATATTCATTTTTTTATATTTATAAATGTAAATTTAACATTGAATCTGTATAATTTTGTCTTACAAGTCATGTGTAAGATTTTGTAAATAAAATAAATTTTGTATAGTTTTTACAATCATTCGTTTTCGACTCTTTCGCTTATTTATAAATTTTACTTTGAAACAAAAATTGTTTTTTATATAAAAAAAATATATATTTGACGTAATTTATTATAATTAATTTTATTGTCACTTGTAAATGTAGTAATTAGTAGTGAAATTTTATTAATTAATTGATAATAATAATAAATGTATTATTAATTACAACGGTTAATAATAAATTGAAATATAAGTTAATTTATCGTTAATTAATAAGTATATTTAATTTATTGTTAATCAATAAGTATAATTGACTTATTATTAATTAATAAGCATAATTATTTTATTATGAATTAATAAATACAATTAATTTTCTGTTAATTAATAAATACAATTAATTTACTGTTAATTAATAATTAAAATTAATTTATTATTAATTAATAAATATAATTAATTTATTATTAATTGATAAGTATAATTAATTTATATTTAATCAATAAGTATAATTAATTTATTGTTAATTAATAAGTACAATTAATTTATTATTAATCAATAAGTATAATAATTAATTTATAATTAATTAATAAATTAGGTACTTTAATTACTATTAATATTAATTATTGTCATTATATTCGAATAATAATTATTCACTAATTATTAAACACTGAAAAGTGCTAATTAATATTAGTAAAAATATTTTCAAAAAAGAAATAAAATAAATTTTTTTAATTCAGTAGTGCGACTCGCAAGAATGCTTATTGTCATAAAGAATAAATCAATTTCAAGGTTTGAAAAAGAAAATTAAAAATTAAGATTTTTGTTAAAGTGCACAAATTTCTTATCATAAAAAAAATGTATAATGTCAATTATGTATCATTTTAGAAAGTCGTAGGTTTCATAGAAAACAAATTTTTACTTTTTTGGTAAAATGAAAATTGTAAAAATCGATTTCGATTTAGATTACAAAAAAAAGCCTACAACATTTATATTTTCATTTAAAAATTTGCAATTATATTTTCAATTTCTTTTTCTAAGCGGAAAATGCATTTAAAAATCATTATTTTCAGTCAGTCGATATCTATATTATATCGGACATTATAAAACTGTAAATATATTAGTTTTACTTTCATGAGACTTATTTACATAATTATAATAATAAGCATTAAAACAAAGTAATAAACAAATATTAATTTAATGTTCTTGTATTTTGTGTTTTACAACAGACACCAATTTATTTTTTGAATTTTTATTTTGTTTTTACAAAATTACTAAAAATAGATTTAAAAAAATTTTCGCGGGCGGAACTTGACTATTTGAGTCAATTGATTACTAAATTATAACATTAAAAAATCAATTTTATTCGTTTCGAATGATAACAACTCAATTAAGTGACACGAGAATGATATAATTATGATTTACAGCTTTCTAGAATAATGTAAATTAGTTTAAACAAAGTAAACAATTTTTCAACAAAAAAGGTAAAATAAAAAAGCGCGTGCGCGGTAAAACAGTGCGCTTGCGTCAATTACACGTAATCCAGGAACGACATAAGAGAAGGGGTTTATAATAAAAAATTTCTTAAATTTTTACTATCCTTTGGTAAATGTGTGAAATAATCTCGATAGTGAAGAAAATATGGTTTTTTATTGGAACTTAAACAATAGTTGAATTTAACCATTTTTTTGACAATTGTTTCTAACCTCTAACTATCTCTGCTAAACTGTCATAACCTAAAAAATAGAATTTTCTTTATCATAATGAATATTAATTTTTTCAACATATATCGATTAAGTAGAAAAAAGATTATTTATTTAGAGTGTAATGAATTTAAAAAACGATATAATTTAAAGAAATGGATGAAATGAATTTAAAGAAATTTAGAGTAATGATTGTTACGGTCCTGGTAAAAAAAATTGTGTGGAAGTGGAGTTGAAGCCAATTTCAGTGGCCCTGAGTGGCCCGCCATGTTTTTCATCGAGTAAGGTGTGAAGAGAAGGCCGGGGTGAAAAATCATCTCTCGGGATATGCAGGTATTTGAATTAAGAAAAATTTCCCTCATTTTTGACAATGTCATTGATATTAAAGTGAATTTTCACAGTGAATCAATAGTGTTACGTAAAGTTAAATAAATTTCAATATTTTCTAACAACGTCACACGCGTTCAGTTGTCGTTGGGTTTTGCTATATAGATTCTATATATGACTCAGGGGAAACAACGCAATCAGCAAGGTTATTTGCATTATGCAGCTGTCGAGTTCAAGTATCTTTCTCTGTCAATGCAACAAACATAATCGACACACTTTTTTATTATTCCCACAACTTAATAGTTGACATATTCTCTTGTTTTCATCATGTTTTTTCGACATGTCCTAAAACAGTCAATAATGAGTAGGATTGTTGACGTAAGAGTCATGCAAGTGACACGATAACTTTAAAATTCCTACTACTCGCTCTATATATCTATTTTGTTCTAATTTTTCTTTTTCTATTTTATTTGCAAAATCGAAATTTTATTTACTTTTTTTTGATTTATTGTTTATTTTTATTTATTTTGACGTATATGTATAAATATATAGAATGTTTAAATTTAGGTAGAAAGTTTCTATTTTGTAAGATTTAATACAAGTAGGCGAAGATTGTGTAAAAAAAGTTTGTTCTCCAATTTTCTTTTGTCAGGCGTTTAATTTATCGATTATTTGGAAATTAACAATGACAATAAATTGGAATTGAAAGCGTGACAAGTGTTTTACTGGTTTTACTTTTGCGAGAATTTTTATTAAATATTGTTTCAAACAAAAATGCAGGTCGCATTAATTTGAAAAAAATTGTTTGTTTTTTTATGTTACGTGATTTGAAAATTTTTTAAAATTTTATTTTTAATTTTTAGAGATTTATAATTTTTTATTTTGTACTTTGGTCTATAAACGATGTGTATGAATGACGTATACAAAATTAATAATTCTTTTTTTTTGTTTTGAAATGTAATGGAAGTTTACGTAATAAAATTTTGTATTTGGTCAACAGAGTCAAAATGGGAAGGAGGCAATATTGTTTATCCCACTGTAAGGCCTGTCATCCTCGCAACGACGACACCTCCACCAATAGCGCACCTGAACCCGACATCTAATTCTACGATAAAGGAACCAAATAATAAACTAAAATAATACTGTTACACTCATAATAAACAACAATAACAAAAAAATATTCGTAGCAACATAAGTCGGTAGCGTTGGATTTGTCACACTCAAGAAATCGAATTCCCAGGAACAAGAAATTTCAATCAAACAAATTGGTAATTTTTATTCTACAATTATAATTCTAATTATAAGAGAAATTAAAAGAAAGAAAGAAGTTAGAAGAAAAGAAACGTTTTTGGGAGAAATTGAGTTTATTTTGTTTTTTGTAGAAGAGAGGATGATCACCCCGGAAGTAGCGAAGATCGAGGGAGTAAAAAGAACCTGGAGGAAACTCCCGAAGAGGGAATGAGGAATCCAGGGCTGCATTTGGTCGGGATAGCGGCGTCCCCTGGAGGAGGTGGGGTCTTTGGTACCATGGCCGAGGAGGAGTTGCGCCAGTGGCTGGACACACGCTTGGACGAATTGGGAATAGACCCAGTGGCGTACTCGCGTTTTATACTCAGCTTTTTGCGCCACCCCGACTCGGCCCTCACTCCTCCGGGAGAAGTTGTCGTTACTGGTAAAGGTAAAGGACGTCGTTCCCGTGCACGTCCCAAAACAAGACTACCGCTACAAGAAGATAAAGAGAAAAAACGTGCTGTCGTTCAATGCCTCGCAAGTGCCGCTGATCAGGTACCAAAAAAAAAAAAAAAAAAAAAATCAAGTTACTCCCATTTATTTTCTCCCACTGTATTTAAAAAAAACAGGATTGCCACAGGTCAGTGAAGACAGGGAAATTAGAAATGGTCAGGGATTTTGATTAAAAGTACTGGAAAAAATTAAATTTTTAGAATTTATAAGAAAATTCTGAATTTTTGAGTTTTTTTTGTTTGCCTCATAAACTATGAAATTGACAAGAATTATAATACAAAACCTTCAATTTTTTTCTATTTCTATGACAATAATTTCTATTTAAATAACTTAATTATATATTAAATAAACTTAATTCTTGAAGAACTATCATAAAATTACTATTTATAAATTATTTAATGAATAATTTTACTTAAAAATTTCAAAATTAATTGGATTTCAAAATAGTTGCGTTTACAATATTTATAAAAAGATGAAATTCAAAAGTATCAATTTGAATTTTTAAGAACAACTGATTCCAGAAATTTAATTATTTTCAGAAGTAATAAACTTCGTTGCATAAATTCAATTGTGTTCAAAAGTTTAAAAAAAAATTCTCGTCAATATTTCAATTATCTTTACAAATTGAATAAAATTCTTCTCCAGAATTCAATTATTTTCAAAAAATTCAATAAAATTCTTGTCAAAATTTCAATTATTTTTAACATCTATTTTAATAAAATTTTCCAAAAGAATTCTATTATTTAAACAAAATTTAAATAAAAATTTCTCAGGAATTTAATATTTCTTATTAATTTTTTATAAATTTCTTTGCACCAATTCAATTATTTTTAATTTTTAATGAAATTTCTCCAAAGAATTCAAATATATTCAGAGAATTGAAAAAAAATAGTTCTGAGAGATTCAATTATTTCGAAAAATTTAAATAGAATTTTTTAAAAAATTCTATCATCTGCTATTATTTAAAAAAATGTTGACAAAATTCTTTACAAGATTTAGTTAATAAAATTGCAATTCTAATAAAATTTTCCTATACAATTCAATTATTTTTAATACAATTCTTCTTTTAAGAATTTAATTATTTAAAAAAATTGAAATAAAGTTCTTCGCAAGAAATCAATTATTTTCAATAATTGTAAGAATTCATTAATTATTTTCTCATCTTAAATTTATTATAAAACATGAAGATATCGATTTATTTATAAAAGAAGTAATTAATGTTTTCGAATAATTTTACAATTAAAGAAATTCGAAAATAAATGGAATAGAACATTTTTTTTTTTTTGAGTATCTAACAATTTTTGGAGTGAATCAGAATATTCTTCAGGGTCAGGAAAAAAAGTCAAAATCAGTCAGGAAAAAGTCTGGAAATCAGGGAAAGGCAGGGAAAAACAAAATTAAATTTTCGTGGCAACCCTGAAAAAATTCCGTAAATTGAATATTGAAATGAAAAAAGATTGATTGAATTGGTTTTTTTTCAGAAATGTGGTGTGGAGACGTTAGTCGATGAATTGTGCGCAAAATTACGCGATTTAGAAGGAGGCGCTTCAAAAACAGACGAGGAGAATCTTGAGAAGGATGTCGCAACGAAACCAGCATTGGAAACTCTCACACCACAGGACAGAGCTCTACGATATTATGCAGCATTTCCAGCCTTGCAACCAGCTACACCGAAAAAATTTCAGCACCGAAAGGACAAGAATTTAGGCCCAAATATTGTCAACAACATCAATAATAATAACAACAACAACAACAATAATAATAACAACAGAAATGGAATTGGCAACAAGAACAACAAAAACCGTCAAAAGAAAACTAAAATGTCCATTGTAAGCTAATTTTTTAAATTATAAATTTAATTCTAACATTCTTTTTCATCAAATCTGTATATTATGAAAATGAGAAGAGAAGTAACAAAAAAATGTTCTTATCACTATTATAGACAATTGAATCGCAGCATGAGGACGAGAAGGAAGGTTTTGGATTTGTAAAATTGATGGAGCGTGAACGCGATAGGGAGAATGAGAAGGAGCAGGAAATTGAATTGGATAAACTTCGATTGGCGCAATTGACGGCAAAGTTTGACGAGTCTTTGGAGGCTCTTTGGGACACGGCGTCTGGCAATAAACAAGACACTGATTCTATCTGGGCAGCACCTTCTCTCTCCATTCCGTCGAAGCCACTTTGGCCAACAGACGGCAATGATACATCGTTTACTGTTTCAACTTCAAGCAGCGAACACGTGGTGGACACACCATTTCAGGAATCAATCGTTGACGACTCACCGCTTATACCCTGGGACCTTGATTTAGTTGGCACTAAGGATTGTTCTGATGAAACCGCTAACAAAAATAATACAAGTGAGTTGTTCTTAATCGACGATTTTTTTTCATTTACAATATATGTTTTTGTTTATTAACTATATATATTACTACTACTTTTTAACTACAATATATAATATTATATTAATTACACTTATTTTACTACAATTTGCTTGAAATATCGAAATTATACATTTCAATTTTCTCAGAATATTTTCCTTTCGAAATTCTATAGTTTTTCGATTAATCAATCACAATTTTTAATTCAAAATCAAATTAAGAGTTTTAAAAGATTTTTATAAAATACAAGTAAAAATGTTCATAATGTTGATTTGTCAATAATATTATTTGGTTAAAAAATTTTTAGTTTCTTTTGGAACAAAAACATTCTGTAATTTTTGTTTTTTAATCACAATTGCAGAAATTAAATTATTTTTAAAAGAAATAAAATTCTTCGTAGAAATTCAATTATGTTTAACAATTTAAAAAAAATTCTCGTCCACATTTCAATTATCTTTAGAAATAATAAAATTTTTCTCTAAAATTCAATTATTTTCAAAAATTTTAATAAAATTCTTTGTAAAATTTTAACTATTTTCAAAAATTTCCCTCATTTTAATTATTCTTAACATCTATTTTAATAAAATTTTTCAAAAGAATTCTATTATTTAAACATTATTTTAATAAAAGTTTCACAAGAATTCAATTACTTACCAATTTTTTCTAAATTTCTTCAAACCAATTCAATTATTTTTTATTTTTTTTATAAAGTTTCTCGAAAGAATAAAAATATATTCAGAGAATTGAAAAAAAATACTTCTACAAAATTCAATTATTTTCAAAAATTTTAATAAAATTTCTTGGTAAAATTCCATTTATTTTCAAAAATTTTCCTCAATTCAATGATTTTAAATATCTACCTACTATTTTATTAAAGTTTTCCAAAGAATTCAATTATTATTTAAAAAAACTTAATATAATTCTTCGCAAACATTTAATGTTTAATTGATAGGAATTCAATTAACAAATTTTTTATCAATTTCCTCGCAATAATTCAATTATTTTCATATATAAAATTTTTTTACAGGGATTCAATTATTTTCATAAATAATGAAATTTTTTTAAGAATTCAATTATTTTCATAAATAATAAAACTCATCACAGAATTTCAATTATTTTGAATAGAATTTTATTCGAATTCCTTGAAAAATGTAATTATTCTTAAAAATTTTATTAAAATTCGTCGAAAGAATTTATTTATTTGAAAATTTAAATGATTTTATTTTTAATCAATTTTTATCAATTTAATTTAATAAAATTCTTCATGAGAATTTATGTTTAAGAAACCTTCAATTATTCAATAAATTATTTATTTTTTTATTTAAATATTTGAATTCTCGTAGAATTTTCTAATAAATATTGAAATAAAAATAAATTTCAGTTAAAATTTTAAATAATAATTGAATATTAAGAGCATTATAGCGCAATTTTTTTTTTTAGAAATAATTGAATTTTGGAAAGGTTTCAAATAAAAATCTTTGGAAAATTGAATTTTTTTCATACTTTTAGCTAAAAATTCTGTAGAATTAATTTTTTTGAAAAAGTATAATTGAATTTTTTTTAAATTACTTGAAGTTTTAATTTTTCTAATATATATTTAATTGAGGAATTTCCGAATAATTGAAAGTTAGTAAAATTGAATTATAAACAAATGGATTTGAAAATTCTCAAAGAACTTTTTTAAAAAGTTATTAAAAATAATTTATTTAAAGAAGAATTTTAGTTAAAATTCTGAAAAATAATAATTGTATTGAAATGATGAAAATAATTTTGAAGAAGTTAGAGTAACGATCTCATTATAATGTAAAATAATGATTTTATAACTCGGTCTTCTTTAATTATTATAAAACATGAAGAAAGCGATCACTCCGAGTCGAAGACTCGGAGTAATCGATATCTTATTGTTTTATAATAATAATATATTCTTATAAGTTGTTGAATTTCAAAAAGATTTAAATTTGAATGTTTTGAAAAATTTTAATTCCTACGGAAAAATAATGATTAAATATTTATTTAAAAAAGAAGTTATTGATGTTTTCGAATAATTTTACAATTAAAGAAACTCGTAAATAAATGTAGTAAAACATTTTTTTGAGTATCAAATTAAATATTAAATATTAAAAATATTAAATAAATGTAATAAAACATTTTTTTGAGTATCGAATTAAATATTAAATATTAAAGGCAATTTTTGCCTTTAAAAAAGGCAAAAATTGCTTTTTTTAAAGAAACAATTGCTTTGCGTGTTTGTTTGTAGGCAAAAGTTGCCTGATTATAAAGCACATTCTGTCAAATTTTTTTTTCAGTGTAGGGTCAGAGAAAAAGTCAAAATTTTGTCTTGAAATCAGGGAAAAGTCAGGAAAAGACAAAATTAAATTTTTGTGTCAACTCTGTAAATGAGAACATAAATTGTTTATTAATTACAATTGTACATCGTTTTTTTAAAAATAAATTTCTTTTTGGGAAATTTGCAGATTATAACGTCACTTGGTCAGAGACATTGGATGGCTCATGGTGCTGGCGAAGTATGGACAAGGATATTGTAACAAATGCAAATCAAAGTCCTGAGAAGAATGAAAATACAATTTTACCATCGAAGAATAATGAGACAATTGGAAAAGAAGCACGTTTCGCTCAAAAGGTGAATAGCATTCAGGAGCCCGATGAAGATTTATTGACATCGGCACGCACTCATTTTCGTCCAATTCGTGACGATGGCCATTGGGCAGACGGCACAACGTTTCCTGTGAATGATGCTCTTGAACGTGTCGCATATCGACGCAGTGATTCGGGCAATTTACTCTATCTCCCTGGTGGCGAAAGTCCTTACATGGAATATCGCGAGGGCGATACTGCTGCTGTCTCATCAACGGCAACGTCAGTGTCGACGAATCTCACATTGAAATTTCGTGTGAGACAGTGCGACAAATCAATTCAAACGGAACCCATTAGATCGCCGGTCAAACGCAGAATCCTGTCGGAACAAGATCGAGTTTATTATTCATCGTCCGACGTTGAAGAAACTGCAAAACAAGAGATTGATGATACTGAGAAGGATTGTTTCTTTTTGGAACAATTGGGATGGGCTCAATCTAATTTGCTCTTGCACAATGAGAGAAAAAGGTATTTCATTCACGATTTTTCCATTCTTTGAATTAGTCAAATTTTTATTCCATAAATCTAATTTTTATTCTATAAATAAAATTTTTAATTCTATAATTTAAATTTTTAATTCAATTTCTATCAAATATTTTATTTAAATCGTACTCTTTAATTTTAGTTCCTAAAATTTGTTTCTAAATTAAAAGAATATTGTTTCCTGAAATAAAAATAGGCGATATATTAAAAAATCAAATAATTTAAATTATCATTTCCTTTTTAATGTATTATTTTTATTTTTTAATTTTTATTTAAACTTCCTTGAAAGAAAAATTGAGTAAACATTGAAGTATCTACGTTTCGTGAGAAAAAAATCAGTATTTCATAATCTCGAGAAAGAAATTTTATGACTAAAAATGAAATATTTATAAATTTTTTAAAGTTGAAATATTTACAATTTCTTGAAACTCATAAAAATGTTGAATAATTTTCATATATTGAAGATTTGTCACGTATATTTGCTTACGTTTTTGTTCTCAATGTTATTTATTTTGCAATAATCGTGATGTAAAAAAAATTATCAATAAATGAAGAAAATTTATTTAAAGAGAGAAACAAATGTTTTTTTCGTATTTTAATTGATAGGAAAATAAAATTAGAAAGTCAAAAGAAAAATTGAAAATTGTGTAGAAAATTAATAGTGAATTAATAGATAAAATAAACAATTACGACTTTTTCGACTTTTCTTCCAAATATTGCAAAAATTTTTAGTATAAAATGCAACTTACTTGGATTTTTATATAGTGTGAAAAATAATTATAGACAAATCTTAAAAAATTATTTTTTAATAATTTTTCTAATTAAATTTTCAAAATTTATAATGAAAAAGAGTTTCAATAATTGAAATTTTGTAAAATTTAATTGAATATAATTGATTTCTTTCAGTGTTTTTTAAAAATTTTGAAAATCAACTTTTGAAGAATTTTAATTGTAAATTAATTAAAAAAAATTCTCAAAAATTTTAATAAAAAATCTTTAAGTGTAAATTTAAAAATGGCAGGTAATTAATGAAAATTAGCTTCTAAAAATTTCTATTAAAATATTTTTGAAAAAAATAATTCTTAGAATTTTTGCATTCTAATTTTTTAAAATTCAATTATTTTCAATATTTTCAAATACAAATTTCCAAAAATTCAAATACATACAAAAAATAATAACATTAAATAAAATAAAAACATTAAATAAAAAATATTACTAATTTTTTGAAGAATTTTGATTAAAATTTTTAAACATGATTGTTATAATCATGTTTAAAAATTTTAATCAAAATTCTTCAAAAAATTAGTTTTTTTAAAATTACACGAAAATTCTTTTAAGAAATTCAATTCTTTTTGAAAAATTACATTACAATATTAAAAAAAAAATTTATTCTTGTAATTTTTTTATCTTAATTTTTTAAGATTCAATTAACTTTGAACAAAGTAAATTAAAATTTTTTTAAATTTACTTTTTTAGATTTGTTAAAATTTTTGAGAAATCACATTTATATTGATAGGTAATTAAAATTCTTCAAAAATTAAAATATTTTTTAATTGAATTTTTAAAATATTTAAAAAAAATTAATTTTAAGAATTTCTTTATTATAATTTTTTGAAAATTAATTAATAACTTAAAAAACATGGTCAGTTATAATTATTATAAAAAACTGAATTTTTGTATTTAAATAATTGAATTCTCTAAGAATTTTCGGAAAATTATTGAAAATAATTGATTTTGAGAAGAAGTTTGATTAAAAAATTGTAGAAAATAATTGAGTTTTAAGAGAATTCTTAATTTTTAGAAAATATTAAGTTTCCGAAGGTTTTAAATAGAAATTTTTAAAATTCCATTCCCATTTAAAAATAAACAAGAAGTATTTAAATATTTATTTAACGAAATTATTCAAGTTTTGAATAATTAAATTTATAAATCAGTGAAAGATCAGAAAAATACAAAATAAAATTTTTGTGACAGAAGTCAGAACTGAATTAAATGAACGACTTTTTTTGATCCGAGGCCTGTTTAACTTTTAATTGATTTAGAATAAATCTGAATTTAAATTCGAAATATAAAAATAATCGGAGTTTACTAAAGAAAGGTATCTACTTCAATGAATATTGGAAATTTTATTTATTATTCTAGATTATAAATATAAATATAAATTTTTTTTGTTTAACAGGAGATATAGTAGCAGTTTTAGCTATCGACCACTCACAGCTTTACGCCCGTTGACTTTATAAAAGAAAAACGGGTTGTAAAATTCTGTTGTGAAACGCATGTTATGACCGGCAAGTTATGTTTTAGCTATGTATTTGTCAGAATATAAGACAAAAAAAAAAGAAAAAAATGGGCAAAACTGTAATTATTTGGCGTGTGGGGGTCCTCTTGGCATGTGGAATTTGTTATGCATGAATCCAAGATGGCATTGTTACCTCCCTTGCCTCCTGTAGGAAATAATAAAAAAAAAGCAGTTATATATTAAAAACAAAAGCAAGTCAAGAAAACATTAAGAGGATACGACGAAACTTGTAACTATACAGTTTAATTTAGAAGATTTATTTATCAATTAACTTGTTTGTCGAAAGAAAGAAAAAAGAGTAAAAGAATACAAAAAAAAATATTATAGTATATCTAATTCCTCGGTCCGACGAGAATTTTGTTTTTAATCGTCGACAAAAAAAAAAAAAAGAAAAAAAAAGTAGTAGGAGTGATTAATTTTTTTTGTTTTAATTCATTATTAATAATTATTGTTGACGAATTTTTTTCCTTTTCCGTTTTATTAAAAAAAAAGAATGCTGAGAAATTTTGATTCGCTCTTGTTAAGAAAAAAAGAAATAGCGTATTACACACGTATTTTATATACTAAAATAATTGCTTGTTTTTAATTTTCGTTATGGCACTCGAAAAAATTTCGTTACGTGAGAAAATTTTTCAAAACACCACGCGCAGAATATTAATGAATTTAAAATAACTTTTAAAAATTAATATCGAATAAATTTAAAAAAAGAAAATAAATGAAAACTGTTGATTCCACGTAAAATTGAAACTAAAAAAAAAAATTAATAAAAATAATATAAAATACGATCTTAACGAGTATTGCACCACGCTGACAAGAGTAAAAAAAAGCACTCAAAGTTTTATTCTATTTTCCTTGTTATTTTCTGTAATTATATCTAATGAATTATTGTAATTGTATTTTTTCCCCTATTATATTTTTAACTCCTTAGAAAATTAACACAATTCCCCTTTAATCCCAAATTCCTGGTTACCTTTACGCTTCCCTTTTTAAAAGAATGAAAAAAAAAATTCCTGAAAAAAAAATCAACGGAGAAATTGTCGTTTAATTAGCTGTAAATTTCACACTTGATTCAGTGCAATAGACAAATATTTTTAAAAAAATTCATTAATAGCTGAAAGTAGTTAATAGTTGAATATAATAAACTAAATAGTTGTATCAACAGTTAATGCATAATGTATAACTTTAATTGTAATATTTGTTAATCTACTGAATCAAAAATGTTAAAATTACAACTAATATTTTTCGTCATTTTTATCCCGTGCAAAATAATTAAAAAAAAAAATAATAATAAAAAAACCGTACGTGTAAAAAAAAATGTATTTGTAAAAGTACAGACCTTGCGAAAGGTGAAAGAGTGATTGAATCACTACAAAGTTGTTCCTTAAAAGGAATCCAGTCAAAGAAATAAAAAAAAATAAATAAATTATATAAAGTGAGATGCAAAATAATGCCGCAAAAAATAGAAAAAAAAATTGTGACAAATGTAATTAAAAAGTGCAAGGAGAAATTAATCTCTGAACAGAAAAATAAAACAATTGTACACAAAAATGGAAAAGTGACCAAATAAAGGCAAAGCAAACACTGCAAGTTTTTTTTAATTCATTTATTTTCAATCCTCGTCCACTACAAATTTAATGAGTAAAAAAATTTTTAAATTAAAAATAAAACTAAAAAAATTTACAGGTTTCTTTTGTTACATTTTTATACGCAAAACACAAATCTTTCAGATTACATGATAAATTTTTTTTTATAATTTATTTTTTCTTATTATTATTACTGTGGATTTATTTTAATTCTGTTAAATTAGTTTTTACACAGCAAATCAAGTTGTTTTTATAGATTCACTCAGTGCAAAATGAGTGTTACATTATTATTTTTTCTTTTTTGAATTTTTTTTTAAATAGAATTTCAGTATTCGTTGGAATTTAATTTTGATATTCAAAAAAATTCCAAGTTTATTGATATTGATAGTTTATTATTTTACGATCAAAAATTATATATTCAACGAGTAATTAATTATTTAAGGATTAATCAATAGTTATTAATTAATAATTAATCAATAGTTATTAATTAACAATTAATCAATAGTTATTAATTAATAATTAACAATTAATTATTAATCATTAATTAATATTTACTTATTAATCAGTAATTAACATTTAGTTCTTAATTAATATTAATTGATTGACAAAATTGATCGTAAAATAATAAACCGATCAATAACAATTATTACTGAACAGATAGTAATAAATAACTATTCATAAATAATTGATTGAATTTCAATCATCTCCATTGACGACAATATTTTCCTATTTCAAAAATATATTTTTCATTATTTATTTCAGTAAAGATTAGAAATTCGTTTTCTTAAAACTCGTTAAAAATTTTTCACTTTTTCTATTTTATTTAGAATAAGCATTTTTTTAATAATCTCCTTCTTTATTATTTATAAATATTTAAATTCGGTTTCAGAGGTAGAAAGTTGTGATTTTTTTTACAAGAATTGAAAAAACACTAGTTATTAATTTTTTTCAAGGCACATCTTGGCTTGATTTTTTGTTGTAATTTCATTTTTAAGCCCTTTTTTAAATCACTTTTTAAAATTATGATTTTTTTAATATATATATTTATATTTTTTTTTGAATAACAGAATTAATGGATTTTTATTTAAAAACACACTGCACAATTGACAGAAAATTGAGAAATCATTTTTTTTTTTTGTAAATTGATAGTTAAATTAACGTCGTCATTATGTTTAATTTTAATATTAAATTTAATTAATAAATTAAATTAAATTTTAATAAAATTTATTTATTGCTTTTAATATAATTATTGTTAACAATAATAATATGCTAATTTTAAACAATTTCGATTATATTACGGAACAATAACCATTAGGAATAAATTACTATTAATTAATTATTTGATAATGATGGAAAAATATTTCTATTATAATTAGTGTCAAGAAATTAAATTAATTTAAAAAAAGATTATTTAAAAGAAAATTAGAAAATATTCCTGTCTTAAGTTTTTTTTTCTTATAAAAATAAAAAAATTTTATTCTCACTATAAATATAAATATATCTTAATATTTAAGTAATTGAAATATATTTATATTTTATTATTAATTCGTTTAACTTTCAAGATAGAAAAATTATTAAAATTAATTATATTAGTTATCAAATATACAAACAGAAATAAAATTTTATTACACCTATGTATTCGAGAATGTAGAGAAATTAAGAAAAATGTTTATAGAATATTTTTTTCTGTTAATCACTTTCAAGAGATAATCGTTATTTTTTTTTATTTATTATTACCTATATATTATTATTATTTTATTATTCTCTTATTTACTCTAATTTAATTTTTAATTTATGCAACTAATTCCCATTATTTTCGATATATTCGAATTTTTAAATTGATAGCAATTTTTATTTATATAATATATTTATTCATTAATTTTACCTAATCATTTTAATTTTGAATTTAATAATTTTAATGTTTAATGTAATGTTTTAATTTTAATGTACAGAAAAATATTTCACAATTTGTGAACATTTTTTCATTTCGTTAAAAATGATTTTTCGTCTTTAATTAAATTTTAATTTAAATTAAAAAATGAAATTCTTGAAAAATACTAAAATAGCGAAACAAATTTAATTAATTTCCTTTTTTGAAATTATGAAAAAATTTCTTCAAGTCTCAAAATGAAAAACTAATTTATATTTTAACGTTTCTTTGTTGCATTTAAAAATATTTCAAGTTTTTTTGTAAAAATATTTCGTATTTAAATTGCAAAACAGATTTTACGGAAAAAGTGATTGTCAATATTTCTTTTTGGAAAAAAAAAAATGAAAATAAATATTCGTTTGACACGACGGAACATTTTTCGTAACTTGTGTCGCTTGAATTCTGATTATTGCTTCTAGTTTTTCAAGTTTTTTGCTCTTCCAGAGAGATAATAAAAGTTTTGTCATTTTTTACGATTTTTAATATACAATTTTTGTTTCTAAAATCCGTCGGAAAATATTTTTCATTTAAAAAGAATATTTAAAAAGAATATCTTAAACTACAAGGATGTTTCTAACTCTGCAAAAAGAAAAAACTTGCCTCGTGAGAGAATTTTTCCAAGTTGCAGAAATTTGAATTTAATTTTCCAAACAGACGAGTGGCTCTTAATGGGAATTTCCTCAAGATTTAATGATTGATCCAAGATTGATGAGTGTAACTCGTAAGACAAAAAAAATGAGTTACGTTCTCTATATATTTTTTGAATCTCAATCTAAAGTCGATAATCAATCATGATATTCGATCTGATAGGATTTGAGGGTTGCTGAAAGCGTGAAGTATCGGCTTTCATAGATAACGAGAATTTTTTTAAAAATACTTTTTGGTTTGTTTTCATTTCGTTATGCTCTTTCTTTCTCTCTCTCTCTCTCGTGAATATAGAAAACCGCGATTTTGAATTAAAATCTCGATCTGTATCGAGTTTGAAGATGCAAAGCCTGCGTGGGAGCTGGCCGCAAGGTAAAAGCGATTGGCTTCACGTTTGGTTCGAGTGACTTGATTTTTGTACTGGCATCGTTAACATGAGCGGCAGCAACTTCCTCCGCAACATCCATATTCTGTGTCTTTCTTGCCTTGGGACGACATCGATAATAATAGAATTCAATCACCAATGTGAGACAAGCCAATGCAATGCCTACGAAAATCACAATGAATACGCCGCCAATATTTTGAATGCTGATTCCATCATTTCTGTCCGTGTCCCGACCGCAAACCTTTTTCTCTTCATTTCGATTCCACCATTTGTCCTTTAGCTTCTCCAATTTTCTCTTGTTCAGCAGTACCAAAATTCTGTCGAAAAAATTGAAGATTTTTATTTAAATTATTCAAAAAATATAAATAAAAAAAAATAAATAAATATAAATAAAATCCATTTCTTTTTGGATTAATTAAATTTTTATTCAACGGAATATTTTAAACATTATTTTTAGCCTTTCATTGTTGAATACATTTTTAAGAATAATTAATAAAAGTAGAAAATTGTTTTTCCTCAAGTTAATTTGATATTTGTTTTCAAAGTTTGAAAAACAATGTTATTTTAGATTGATTAAAAAGTTTCAATGGAATATTTCACTTTTCAATAATAATATCAGAGCTATTTATTTTCTTCGCTCGCCTGAAATATTGGAAAAGCCTTTTGCTGAGCAAAGAAACTTGATTGTGATTTATAAAGCAGATTTTTTTTTATATCACATTCAGCGGGAATAAAATAAAGATGAACAACGCTCTCTGTGAAAATTTTCAAATTCTGATAAATTGGTGAAAATTAAAATATACTAATATTCATTATTATGCAAATTAAAAAAAATTTGTTATTTTCAATATATTAATTTCAACTTCGAAGCTAAAAAAAATCAATTATTAACTAATTTACAAACTAATAAATATTATTTATTGTTTTCAAAAACTTTAATAAAATGTTTCGCAGGAATTTAATTATTTTCAGTACAATTTCAATAAAGTTTCTCAAAAGAATTCAATTATTTTTAAAAATTTGATAAAACTGTTATAATATAATATTTTAATTAAAATTCTTTAAAAGATTCAATTTTCGAAAATTTTAATAAAATTCTTAGCAAGATTTCAATTATTTTCATAATTTATACAATTTTTAACAGGAATTAAATTATTTTAATTAATTTCAATAAAATTCTTCACAAAAATTTTATTTTGACAAATTTTAATGAAATTCTTTATAAGAAAAAAATTTGATTTTTTCCCTAAAAATAACAAATTTTTTTGCAAAAAATCAATTACATTGAAATTTTTTTATTAAATTCTTCATGAAAATTGAAATATTTTTAATATAATTTTAATTAAATGACTCGAAAACATTCAATTATTTTAGAAAAATTTAATAAAATTCTTAGCAGAAATTTAATTACTTTGAGAAATTTTGATAACATTATTCATGAGAATTGAATTATTTTCATAATTAATAAAAATTCTTAGCAGGAATTTAATTATTTTATAAATTTTAATAAAAGTCTTCACAAAAATTTTGATAAAATTGATTATGAGAATTGAATTATTTTCGTAATTAATAAAATTCTTAGCAGGAATTGAATTATTTTGATAATGATAAAAAAAATCAATAAAACTTTTTATAAGAAGAAAATTTAATAAATATTTTTTAAAAATTTAATTCTTTTCATAATTAATAAAATTTTTAACAAAATTTCAATTATTTTCATAATTAATAACATTTTTTGAAAGAATAACATTATTAAAAAAAATTGTAATAAAATTTCTGAATAGAATTTAATTATTAAAAAAAGTAATTCTAACATTCTTTGCATAAATTAAATTACATTTAAAAATTTTTATGAAATTTTCTAAAAGAATTTAAATATTTTTAATATTACTTAAATTAACTGTTTGGTGAGAATTAACTTATTTTTAAAGATTTTAATTAAATTTTTCGCAAAAAATTCAATTATTTTGAAAATTTAGATAAATTTTTTTATAAGAATTCAATTATTTCAGATTCAATATTATAAAAGAAATATTTCTAATTGGAAACAATCTAGTTTAATTTATTTTGTGGTATTTTTTAATCTTCAAAGCTTTAAATTAGAATTGCATTAATTTTAAAATTCAAAACATTAAAAAGAAAATTATAAAAATTAAGATTCAAAAAGAAAACAAAAATAAATAAAATAATAGTAAATTAATTAATTAATGAAAAAAAAATAAAAAATATAATTCAAACTGCTATCAAATTACCGGAATACAACGATTATTAATATAGATTTATTATTTGATCCTTCATTTGTAAAGATACTCTCAACATTAAACTCGTATCGAATTAGCGTTAAAGTATCAAATTATTTGATAATTAGCGATAATTGGAGGTGCTTACGCATTGTTAAATTGATCCTTCAGAGGTGATCCTTGTTTAACGGCAATAGCGTATGGTTTTCTCGAGAATTCCTCGCCAACTTGTTTCAAATCGCAATTTGTTATCGTCAAATATTTAATGTCAGTGGCGTCTCCAATTAAAGCGAATTCATTAGTCGTATTTACTTTTCTCACTCGATTAACAGCTTCTTCAAGGGATTTCGGAAATTTAGCTTCCTTCATTGATTGAAACATTTTTGTGTACTTATCGCTCACAGGATAATCCCAAACGGCAAGTTTCGCTCTCTCCAAATCGCTGAGACTGTCATTCAAACTCATGTCCTTCCAGATGCTAAATCGCAAAAAAAAAAATTATTTCATTAATAAAAATAAAATTCCATACATGACAAAAAATTATTTCTTTTGTGTAAAGAAAAAAATATTTACCTCCTAATGGAGTTGAAATTTTTATATTTACAAAATATTGAATATTTTCCCAAAAGTTTATTTTTCAAAAAAAAAAAAAAAGTTTCAAGTGAAATTTATTCTGAGTTGATTTTTGTTGGACCAAATTGTTGAGTAAACATTTCTGGTTACTCTCGTTTTTTTTCTGCATTTACTGGGGAAAAAGTGCACAGTAATGTTTACACAACATCAAAATCAAACCACACGTTTTTAAATAACAAAAAATGAAAAAAAAAAAAAAGAAATACAAGAGGCAGATATAAATGAATAAAAATGAATAAAAATGGGGTAAACTAATGATTGTAGAAAAGAAGAAAGGGTAAATAATATTAATTAATATTTCTATTAAGTAAAAAGTTTTGGAATTTTCTTTTTTTATTTTATATAATATTTTAGCTCGCTATGAACTTTTGATGCGAAAGAATGTCTATAATCGATAACAATTGCTTATTGATTTTCAACTCAAGGAAGGAATGAGAAATTGGAATTTCAGAAAATTGACAGAAATGGTTACATTTTCTGGCATTCATTTTTATCGAATATCTAAATTGCCGGGGCATTCTTTTTTGAATCCCATATATCTCATCTTCATTAATCAAATTTCTATTTAATGGAATTTTCAGATCATTGAATTTTCAATTAGTCAAAAATAAATATTCGACACAAATATCAATGAATTTGAGAAAAGGGATTAAAATTGTTTTTTTTGCTTATTCTGTAAAATTTCGAAGAAAGAAGGTTAAATTTCCAAGACATTATAGTTAAATTTTGTCAGTAATTTAAACTTGTAATGGAAATTTGAATTATTAGCTTTCGCGTGTAATTTATGAAGTTTATAAAGCCTCAATTTGGAAACAATACTATTAGAGGTAAGCGAATTTGCATATCTAAGGTACTTCACTTTGTGAATAATACAAACTTGAGGTACTAATCAATTTGATCAATTATCGTAAGAGGAATAAATTTTGGGTTTGCACAGCACTGTGGCAATAGTTTTCCAAGGGCTAAGTAGAGACACTTTGCAACTGCCGATGTTAACTACATACATTTCCTTCTATTTCATATTATATATTGGTTCCTTGCACTAAATACATATTGCATTGTGCCTTCAAGTTTAGTTTTTAATTTTAAATTTACATTATAGAACTATTTCATTTACTTCCATTATTCATGCTACTTCGTTTCTCTCAAACACATTCGATTGTTCCCATAAATTTTTCTTCAAATCCAAATTTACAATTTCTCATTCCTTTTTTTCTCTTTTCTTTTTTTTTTAATCTTCCCTTTTTCATCTTTATCTGAAATATAATTTTAGAATTAAAAAAAAGAAATTAGAATTAGAAAAAATATAATTAAGACTAGAAAAAATATAATAGAATTAGAAAAAAATAATTAGAATTACAATGACAATTATTAGAAAATAAATATTGAAAGCAGTTGAAATTAATAATTAATGACAACGATTTATCGACTAAATTCGTTTGTAAATTGACTTTAAACAAATCAAATTATATACACACGCGATTCAGTGTGAAAGTCAAATTCAATTATTTCAAATTAAATTACATTAAAAATTTAATAATTTTTTTATTTTAAATTACAATTGTTTCGATTTTGAATTAAATGAATAGTTAAATTTACAAAAAAAGGGGGAAAAAACTACAAATTGGAAAAAGGACAAAAAAATGTTTCACTAGAATTATTTATAATAATAATTTATAAATAGTAAAATTTTTTGCAAAAATTCAATTATTCTCAAGAAAATTTTATAAAATTTCACGAAAGAATTCACTTATTTTCTAAAATTTGAATAAATCTTTGGAAACAATTCAATTATTTTCAATAAAATTTCACGAAAGAATTTAATTTTTTTCTTTCTTCATTATAAAATTTTTCAAAAGAATTCAATTATTTTCTAAACATTTAATAAATTCTTCGAAACAATTCAATGATTTTTTTAAATAGTATAATCTTTGCAAAAATTCAATTATTTTTAACTAAATTTTAATAAAACTTTACGAAAAAATTCAATTATTTTCTAAAATTTTAATAAATCTTTCAAAACAATTCAATTATATTTTTTAAATAGTGTTGCAAAAATTCAATTATTTTTAACAGACTTTCATGAAAGAATTCAAATATTTTTAATTTTTAATAATATTTTTCGAAAAAATTCAATTGTTTTCTAAATTTATAATAAATCCTTCGAAACAATTCAATTTTTTAAAAACTTTTCGTAAGAATCCTGATGATTTTAAAAATTTTTAATAAATTCATTGGAATAATTCAATTATTTTTATAAGTAGTAAAACTCATCGCAAGAATTAAATTATTTTTTATAAATAATAAAATTCTTTTCAGGAATTCAATTTTCTTCAATAGAATTTTAATAAACTTCTAAAATGAAATATTTAATTGTAATTATTAACAGGTACGATTATTTTAAAAAGTTGAAAAACATTTGTTGTTTAATTCAATTGTTTAAAAAATTATCAATTAAAATTATTCAAAAAACTACATTATTTCTCAAAGAAACATAAAAAAATTCTTCAAAAGAATTTAATTTATTTACAAAAACTCTAATAAAATTGTTTAAAAAAGTTTAATTTTCTACAAATAATTTTAATAAAATTTTAATTGTAAAATTATTAATAATTACAATTATTAAGAAAATCGATTATATTCAATAAATTAATGAAACGTTTTGAAAGAATTTAATTATTGTCAAAACCTTTAATAGTATCTATTCTTCGAAAGAATTGAATTATTTTCTATATATTTTAATAAAATTCCTTGAATGAATTAAATTATTTTAGAAAATTGTAATAAAATTCTGAGAAGTATTTAAATATTTTCTCAAATTTTTAATAAAATTCAATAATTAAATGTTCAATAAATTTCAATTATTACGAAACATAAATATATTAATATATATATATATAATAATATTAATATATAATAATAATATATAATAATAATAATAATAATAATAATAATATAATAATAATAATAATAATAATAATAATAATAATAATAATAATAATAATAATATATAATATTAATATATATATTAATATTAATATATATATATATTTATATATAATATTTGAAAAATTTCAAAGAAATTGTTCATAAAATTCAATTACTTTCGATTAAAATTATTAAAGAAACTCCATTATTTTAAAAAAATTGAAAGAAAATCTTCAAAAGAATTTAATTACGATTTTTAAAAATTTTAATAAAAATCTTCGCGAGAATTCAATTATTTTCATAAATAATAAAATTCTTCGGAAGAATTCAATTATTTTTATTAATAGTAAAATGTTTTTTGCAAAAATTCAATTATTTTCAACAAAATTTTAATAAAATTTCACGAAAGAATTCAATTATTTTCTAAAATTTTAATAAATCTTTCGAAACGATTCAATTATTTTTTGAAATAGTAAAATTTTTGCAAAAATTCAAATATTCTCAATAAAATTTCACGAAATAATTCAATTTTTTTTCTTACTTCGTTAGAAACTGTTTTAATTTTTTTTGTAAAAATCAAATTATTTTCAACAAAATTTAAATAAAATTTCACAAAAGAATTAAATTATTCTTAAATTTTTGGATAAAATTCTTTGCAAAAAAATTCAATGATTTCCATGACATTAATATTAAAATTTATTTATTTATTTATTTATTCAAAAATAAGTTTTGAAAATATTTGAAAAGAAAAATTATTAAAAAAAAGTTTAAAAACAAAAAAACAAACAACAACGATTATTAATATAGATTTCTGACAACTTGTTAGAAAAAAATATTTCTTTCCACCAAATATTATAGTGTCTTTGTAAATATTTTTTCTTTAGTCATTTATAATTAATTTAAATATATATTTTCCTTTTTTCTCGGTATTTCTAGAAATCATTACGTTATTGACATTTTCGAGTTCGATTCCAAATTTAGTTACCACATAAAAATATGTTTTTTTTCCTAGTCATTACATGACGTGTATTATTTATTTCGATCAATAAAAAAAATTCCATACGAATGTATATGAAAAAAATGGAACGAATGTTAAATTTACAATTTAATTTTAATTGAATTTTGAATTCCTGTAATTTGTCCAAATTTCTCATTATACACGAATTTAAGTTTTCCAATTAGGAAAATTGTCATAATTTCTCAAAATTGCTTGTGAATTGGGAAAATTTGCTGAAACTGGAATTAAACTAAAATTTTTAAAAATTAATTATAATTAAACTTTGAACACAAAAACGGATAATTCGATTAAAACAGATTTGACAAATTAGTTGAATTTAAAAAAAAGAATCTGTTTGAAAATAATAAAATTAAGTTAAGGTTTTTGTAAAAAATTTTTTTCGGTTTTTGGAAGATGATGAAAAAATAATTATCTTTTTTATCAGGTCAACAAAAAAAAAACAACTACAAGTAAAGATAATAAGAATGAAACAACGCTTTTAAAAACAAAGAACTAGAAAAGAATCGCAAATTTTTGAATTTAACTTTCTCTCTTTGAGTTACAAAGAAATAATTGTAAAAGTTCAAGAGAAAATAAGTTTTCGTTTTTAAAAACGTTGCGGACTTGAGCCAGAAAATAGATTTAGAAACACAATTATCTTTCAAAGAAATAATTTTTAAATTTTAACTTTTAAATTACAAAATCAATTTTTAAAATAAAAAAAAATTGAACTTACTGATAAAATTTATCCTCAATGTTTGACATCCTCTCAAAATACGTGTAGGCGCCGGAATTTTCAATGACCGAATACTGAACCTTATACTGTGATGCAAGTTGCTCGAGCGATTCAATAGGAACCTCCAATCTTGAGACAGTGAGAAACGCAGCCAAATTCGCCGTATACGATGCAATAATGATAAATCCAAAGAGCCACCAAGTTGCGGCGACAAGTCTTCCAGAAAGATTCTTCGGCGCTTCACCACCGCCTTGCGGTGTCAATGATGTCATGCAAAACCAAAGGCATTCCTTTAGCGTAAATTCCCTCTTCTCCAAGCTATTCTTATATTTTTCTCGATTATTTTGATAACTGTAAGGTGAGAATCTATCGAAAATCCAAAGTAAAAAGCTCGTGAAAAAATAAGCAGCTAGAATGCATAACCAAACGTCGGTTTCCAATACGGTTAAAAATTTAAATAGTGATGATTTTAATTTTGGTTTTTGCATTAAAATCGTAATACCAACGAGATCATAATAAGGCACAGTGTAATCAACAACATTTTCACGTTCAGCCATAACTGCCAATGTACCAAGTGCAATATCAGCTTTTCCATCCTTTAATTCCTTTATCATTCCATTCCAATTGCCATTCTCATCCATATTTCCATATTCCTTGTCGGCAACTTCTTCAATTGTATAATTAAATGGTACCGTTTCACGTATATAATCAAGTAGATCAATGCAGTAGCCCTTCCATGATCTTGACACATTATCGTACATCACAAATGGTTTTTGAATGACCGTAACCACACGGTAACTTTTCGGTGGCGTAAAACCCGCCATTAGGCCCTCGTTTATTACCTTTTTTTACAATACAATCGAAAGAATTTGTAAAATAATGACAATTTTAAGGCAACAAAAATTCACTGGTAACCAAATAAAAAAAAAATTCAGAAAAATTAAAACGAAGAATGCAGCGAATCGATGGTCATTGTGTTTTTATTGTCAGTATCGATGCTGATAAATGGAGGTCACGCAGGAACGAAGGGTGAACTGCAAATGAGGAGGTGTAAATGTCGTTCGTCAGTCAACAAAAATGTAACCAATCGATATTTGGTGTGCGTGCGATACTTGGGTGTTAAAGAAAAAAAAAATATATATATATATATTTTTTTTAAATAAACATACCTTCAAGGACTCATCGATATTGGCCGGCCACGTGGCAACTGGCTCGTCAGATACGACAATTTTATTGTAGATATTTACAATGTTGACGGTCATGTTGAATTCCGTTTTATGGTCACCGTTCTCTTCGCCCCAAACAAAGTTTGCATAGGTCGAAGTGAAACTTTTACTCTCGGTCACTGCCTTTAATTTTGGTAAAAGATTCAAGTTTCTCTTCGGTACATTGCTGCCTGAAAAAAGTTATTTTCCGTATTAATATCGCTCTTTTTATCTTTTGAAATTACACCTTATTTTTTTCAAACATTTTTTATACAGAAGAAGACATTAGATTTTAAATTTGCTAAATTCTCTATTTTTGAGAATTTAATTTAATAAATTCACGTTTTGCAAAAATGTAGAAGAGAAATCTCTTCAACATTTTTCCAAAACTTAAATTTACATGTGAAATAAATATTCTATTAATAAACTGAACAAATCGATTATTTGAAAGAAATAATTATTTTTCAAGGACTTTAGAATGAAATTAAAAAATATAATACCTTTTTTTTGTAAAAATAATTTTTGATAAAATATACTTATTCAAATTGGTATTTTTCTTAAAAGTGGTAAAAATAGGTTCATTCACCTTTCGCATTATTTTGATAAAATACGGTAATTTTTATTAAAGTGAAAATTAATGACGTAAGAAAAATATACAATTTTATAGAATTATGAGGAATTCACTGAATGAAATACGTAAGAAATGACTTATTTTGAAATCGAAAGGAAATTTGTTTAAAAATAAAATCTATAAAAATAATTTTTTATACGTACATAAAAAATAATTTGGAGGAATTCTTAATTTGTTAAGAATTTGTTAAGAATATTTTTTCTTAATTCTTAATTTGTTTTCGATAAAAATTCTTAATTCTTAAATTAAATTTCGAGCAAATGTTCTTTTTTTTCAATATATCAGAAAAAATGAGGAGAAATATATATTTCTCGTAAATTATATTTCAAGATTTTTAATTATACATTAGTTTTTTAATGCAAAAGAAAATTTTCTTTTTTCCAATAGCGGGCTTCGCACTCGTTAATTAATTAAAAAAAGTAGAAAAAAATAGCTTTAAGACTGTAAAGGAGTTGAGTAAAAAAGTTGCTATCGAAAAATTAAATTTGACGACTAAACATACTCGTTTTTGTCGATTTAATGGGGAAAAAAGAAATTTATTTTATTTAGAGTTATCAAACGAATTTTATTATGCATTTTCTTGATTTTCAGTAAGAATATTAACTTCTTTCCTTGTTCTCCTGATAAATTCAATTAAAAACTTTTGTTTTTTGTAAAATTTAATTATTTAAGTTTAATTATTATTAATTATTAATTATCAATTAATACTTTATTGAATTATTATTCAATTTTCCAAATTTTAAGTTAGAATTCTTCAAGAATAGGATTATAAATAAAAAATAATTTTTAAAAGTAAAAAAAAATTCTTTAAAATATGGTAAAATTTATTTTAAAACTATTCGACAAATTTTCTAATTTTATTTTTAAATTTATAATTTTATAAATTAAATTAATATTTATTATTCTATAATTTTTAAAAATATTTTCGAAAATTCAACCATTTTCAAAAAATTTTAATTACAATTTCTCAAAGACCTAATTTTTGTTATTAAATAAATATTTGAATATTTATAGTTATTCATTTTTCTACGAGAATCAAAATTTTAAATAATAATTTTAATGAAAAAACTTTTGATATTTAATTTTTTCTAAAAATTACAGCTGCAATTCTTTTAAAATTAAATTATTTTTTGTAAGTTATCAGTAAAATTATACAAAATTTTTCAAAAACCTCTCATTTTTTCAGAATTTCTAAATTTCAATAATTTTTGTTAAATAAATATTTAAATACTGATTGTTATTTATTTTTCTATAAAAATTAAAATTTTAAATACTTCCAATTGAAAAACCTTTGGAAATTTAATTATTTCTAAAAATTATATATGTAATTCATTCAAAATACAATTTTTAAATTAAGTTATTCAAAACTTGAATAATTTTTGTTAAATAAATATTTTAATTCTTATAAATTACTATTATTTTTTCCATAGGAATTAAAATTTTGAATAATTTCTATGTAAAAATTATGTACGACTATAATTTTTGACATTTTTATTCTATTTTTGAATTTTTTAATAAAATTATTCAAAATTTTAATAGTTTTTTAGAAAAATAATAAATTAATAATTTTTAAAAATGAATTATTTACATGTTTAATAATAATTTAATAATATTTAAATAATTATTATTAAATATTTGAATATTATAAAACATTATTACAATTTTTTAAAAATCCCATTAATTTAGAATTTCTAAATTAAATTATTCAAAACTGTAATAATTTAAAATTGTTAACTGCTTAAATCTTGGATGAATTCAATCATTTTTGTTAAATAAATATTTAAATACTTGTTTTTATTTACTTTTTTAAAATAATTAAAATTTTAAAAGATTTCGATTTAAAAACCTTTTGAAATTTAATTATTCCTAAAAATTACAACTGTAATTCTTCCAAAATTCAATAATTTTGTAGAATTTTCTAATAAAATTATGAAAACTTTATTTATATTTTTTTTAATTAATATTTTGGAAATTTTTTAATCTTCAATTATTTTCTAAAATTTTTACTAAAACTCTTTTTCAAATTACTTCTTGTCAGAAAGTTTTAGAAGAATTTAATTATTTAACTACAAAAATAAATAATTGATAAAATAATTTGAATCGACTAAAATTTGATTAGATTACATTAATTTGGATTTATAAAGTTAATTTAGTAACAAAATTTGTTTTCCTCTATTGTATATCTAGTAAACAAGTTAAATTGATGATTCCTGAAATTTATGATTACTTGAAAGAATATAAATATCAATTTTTCTATTTCAACAATTTGGGGGTCTAAAATGGTGCAAATTTTCGAGAAAAGTAGTTTTTACTGGCAATAAACTACAAAAAGTATTCAAATAATAGCTAAAAATTGTAAAAAAAAGTATCGAATAGGTTTTAGCAGATGAGTGCGAAGCCTGTAAATTAAATTTAAGGAAAATTTTCTTTTCTTCAATAGCATGAAATATGAGAACAAATATTCAGCTTACGTTATATTTTAAAATGCAAATGATGTATTATTTCTGTTTATTCTATTTATGTATTATTTATTATTAAATTTGAAAGAAGTTAACAATTATATAATTAACAATTATATTTTTCAAATTAAGCAGCTGTGCTGTCGATACATTGAAGCCCATGAGCTTATCGAGATTTATTCAAGATATTTAATTTATTTCTGTAGATTGATTCGGGAAAATTGTTAACTTCTTTCAAATTTAATATTTAATCACCGAATGATAAATTCGCTTCCTTCAATTATTATTTATTATGTTATCAAAAGAAAATTTCACTTTTCTCCAATAGCATAAAAAATAAGAAATATTCTTCGTAAAAATTATATTTTTTACCATTAAATTCTTCGCAGATGATTTGCTCTCGTACAGCAGGCCATTCGCCAGCATCGATGGCCGCTTTCATTCCCATAACGGCGATTCGTGTCAAATCATAGTAAAAGGCGGAGCTTATCAACGGCTTAGGTAGAAGTCCTTTCGAAGTGAGTTCGGACAATTGTGGTTTATTGAGAAATTCCGGTTTGATGAACATTATCGTGATATTGTTGACCTCACAGGATGGCATAAATTCATCGAGAGTTATCATATACCATGCATAAAATCGTCCTGTATAATTTTGTGATTCAGCAATTTTCATAGCCATGCAAATTGTTTCCTGATTGCCTAAAATAAAGAAGTGCACAATGTCCAAATCGCGTAGACGTATTATTTGCTCGCGTGCCTTGTCCACATCACTTTCAATATCCACCATCACGTGACGCGTTGGAACATTAAGAAGAAGACTCTTGTACTTATGGTCCATTATGAAATCGCTATTAAACAGGATCATTGCATTGTCTATTGATTTATTATCTAAAGCTCGATTATTTATCGTTCTTAGACACAATTGTCTGATAATTTCTGGCACGAGATCCGCTGGTGGCATTACTTGAATTAAATATCCTTTTTGATCGTCTGTCAATTCTCTCCATCGTCTGGAACATTTTTTTTTTAAATGGATATATTTTAAATATTTTTGCCTTTGTGAATTTAATTTAATTTTTATCAAGTGTTTTTAATAAAATAACTTACCGTAGATCTCCCTTTTGACCGAATTCCCCAGAGACGGTCGGTAAACCAAGTGCGGCAGTGATTGCGTTAACAGTTTCAGTTGCCATTCCAGACTTTGTGATATCAAGAACTAAATCTGGAATTTTAGATCCAGATCTTCCTCCTAAAAGGGTCATATTCCAGGTTCCGCAAACACGATTAAATGTACTTTCAGCATCCGAATTGTTTATGAGAACAATGTAGATTTCTCCCAAATAATCAGGATACTTATCCTTTAGCATATTCAAAGCGCTGGTGACACTTTTGTTGGCCACATCATTTTCTTCGTCATTGATGATTACTTGAAAAAGAAAAAAAATGAGTTTATTTTAACATGCAAAACTTGATACTTCATAATACTTTACAACTTCAGGGTTGCCACAAATATTTTATTTTATTTTTCCATGATTTCCAGACAAAAATTTTCACTTTTTCCCTGACCCTAAAAAATATTCTGATTCACTCTTAAATATATTAGATACTCCAAAAAAATGTTCTATTACATTTATTTAAAAATTTCTTTAATTGTAAAATTATTCAAAAACATCAATAACTTCTTTTTTAAATAATAAATATTTAATCATTATTATTTTTCCGTAGGAATTAAAATTCACACCTTTTTGAAATTCAACAACTTATAAGAATATTATTACAAAACATGAAAAAACTTTTCAAAAAAAGTTAATTATTTACAAAAATCCTAATAAAATCCTTCGCAAGAATTCAAAATTTTTACAAGTAGTAAAATTTCTCAAAAAAATCCAATTATTTAAAAAAATGTAATAAAATTCATTGCAAGAATTCAACTATTTTCATAAATAATAAATCGATTATTCGGTAATTCATTTGTAAATCAATTTTTATTAGAAAATTTTAGAAGAATTCAATTATTTAAATTAAAAAAAAATAATTTATTGAATAATTGAAAGTTTGATAAAATTGAATTCTCATAAAGAATTTTATCACCAAATTTTTAAATAATTGAATTTTTTGACAAATTTTAATAAAATGTTTAAAAATAATTACATTTTTCGAGGAATTCGATTAAAATTGTATCAAAAATAATTAAAATCCTTCGATGAGTTTTATTATTTATGAAAATAACTTAAATTTCTCCAAGAATTTTATTTAATTTTTCTAAAATAATTGAATTTCAGAAAAGAATTTGATTATTTAAAAATAATAAACTTAAAATTTTGACAATAATAATTTAATTCTTCCAACAAATTTTATTCAAGTTTATAAAAATAATTGAATTTCGGTAACGAATTATATTATTTATATAAATAATTTAATTCTTGAAAAGAACTTTGTTAAATATCTTTTAAATAATTTAATTCTTGCGATGAATTTTATAAAAATCTTTTTAAATAATTGATATTTTCGAAAAATTTTATAAAATTATTGTAGTTATAGAAAAAATTGAAAGTTTTCTATTAAAATTCGTCGTAATTTTATAGTTTACGAGGCAAACATAACACATTAACTTGAGTAGTGATAATTGAAATAAATAGAAACTCAAGAAATAGCAAAATAGTTCAACTAAAATTAAAATACTTGTCACTTATTAAAAGTGTCACTTATTTTTTCCTTTCAATGAATACAAGTAGCTCAACAGTTGAATTATTTCCAGTTTAATCAAAATCATATTAATAATAAAGTAATAATAAAAATAAATAGAAACTCAAGAAATAGCGAAATAGTTCAATTAAAATTAAAATAGTTGTCACTTATTAAAACTAATTATGTTTTCATTTCAATGAATACAAGTAACCCAACAGTTGAATTATTTCCACGATTATTTCCATTTTGATCAAAACCATATTTGCTGCTTCATCTATTTATTATCACTTCATTAATTATTTCCGTTCTTCCGAAACTAAAATTTTGTAAATAAAACATTATAAACGCTTTTAATCCTTTTAATTATTACAAACTAAAATATAAACAATCGGATAAATATTTTATACTTTCGAGGTTATTAACAAAATGAAAAATGTAAATAAACTGAAGTGAGCAGAAGATCTATAATTATTATTTTAACCAATGACGTTTTAATTGTCCAGAATCTGATTTGTGGTTGGAGAGAAATTATAGTTTTTGAAAATTGCCGCGCGCATCACGTGATTCTCAAAGGTCACGTGACGTCCGCCATTTTGTGCACATCTAGGCATAACCTAAAAAGAGTTTGGAAAAGTCAGTGTGCTGGCTAAACTTTTGCATAAATTATGATGATAATCAAAGTTTAAAAATTAAAAGAGTCGAAATTAAGTTATAGGAAACATAAAATTATGTGTTAATGTAATATTTTACATTTTGCAATGAGTATAAATGAGATAAAACAGGAATTAGCGGGCAACATTCGTGGCTCTCGGTGTGCATTGTGTGCATCATTGCAAAGTATGGTAAGCAATTTTTACTCAATATTTTATATTATTCTGCCAAATATTACTAATTATGCTACTATTGTTAGTGTAGTTACATATTTTTTTAATTATAAACATTCGATTGCAAAAAATTTTAGTTAATTAGCATTAATCTATCCTATATCTTTTTGTCAAAAAAAATTTTTCCTAAAATGGATATAATTGTCGCAATTAACATCTGAATTGCTTCCGACATAATAAAAAAGAATTATATTTAATACTTTTTGCTATTTTTTGGTTTTATTCTGTAAAATTAAAATCGAAAAAATTATTTTATGGATTATGTTTTAAAGTCCGGTTTTTCTCTTTTTTGTGATTGGTGGAAAGTTACAGTTTTTGAAAATAGCGCGCTTTGTAATTTGCAATAGTCACGTGACTTCCGGTTCAAACCGGAAATGTACTTGTGCGCCATTTTATGCGCATCCCGCGCATCCTTTTGTACGAACATAACCTTAAAAATTTATTGAAAGTTCAGTGCGTTCAGTGTGCTGATAAAATTTTGCCTATTAATTATATAAAGATCAGAAATGCTTAATAATTAAAAATATCACAATTCAGTTACTATTAGCATCGAATTTGTTCGTTAAATGTAATATTCCCTTTTGTAATAAATGTGACGGGGAAAAAATAGGAAACAGTTTCTACACTGCTTTCGGAGCATTTTTCAGAAGGTATATTTCGTACTCAGTTTTTACTCCACATTTTATAAATTTATTCATAATAATATTAGTATTGTTTTTTAATACTTAAATTTTTTAATTATTTAATTAACCTACAAATTGCCTATGGCTATTTTTTGCTTAAATTAATTGATAAAATCCTGTCAATTTATGCCAGGAATTATTTCCAATTTATTAAAAGAATAATTATGTTTAGGTTTTTGTTTTTCCTGGTGGAAAATATATAGAGTAGAATCTTTTTTTTAATATTATTCAAGTATTTTTATTTGTTAACAATGGGGCATCTTTTTTTTAATATTATTCAAGTATTTTTATTTGTTAACAATGGGGCAAGAATGCAAAAATAAAAATTGAATTCAAGTTTTTTTCTCCAATGAGATTTGAATTTGTCATCAGAAACTCAGTTGTCATTGGATGAAATTTGTCGTTTTTGAAATTCGCGCGCATCACGTGATACACAAATGGCCAACTTCACACCGGAAGTACTCCAAGGCGCCATTTTGTGTTCATCTGTGTGTACGAACATAACCTTAAACTTTCGTCGAGAATTGACGATAGTCAGATAGTGTTGGCAAAACTTTTCGTGTTTATTATTTAATTATTATTAAATCTCGCAAAGTATAATAATCAAATTGTGTTACAATTAACAAAAGATTATAATTGATTCCAAATAAAATTGTACTTCATAATAATTGTGACGAGATAAAACGGAAAATAGTTCCAATATTTACGAATTTCGGAGCATATTCTGGGTATTCTGCAAAGGTGCATAAACATTTGGGAATTAGTTTTTAACGTTTTTACACCATATTTATGAATAAATATTTATTAATAGTTATTTTAGATATTGCATTTTTCAAAAATTAAAATTAAATAATTAACTTGAAAAATTATAATTCCAAAGTTTTAACCAAATTATCAAACTAACCTCCAAATTGACAAATGACAATAAATTTCCAAATAGGCCCAAATAGTGAAAAATTCCGTTAAAAATTTTTACATCAGTGATCATAAAGTTAAAATTTGTTACAAAATATTGATTTTATCCATTAATAGATAAAATAATAATAGAGAAATAAATAGTGTTCTAATAATAGTTTAGTGATAAAAAATAGAAAAAGAATTATCGTACAAGAGTTGAAAAAATTTTCTTATAAATCAAATTATTAATTCATTTATATTGTTTCAGGATGATGCTGAGCAGAAGAGAAATGTAAAAGACTATCTGGACTCATCGAGGGGGAAATAATGATAACAACGAAATCTTCGACAATTTCGCAGCTTCCGGGAGAATTTTCTTTAAAAGCCAAAGGGAGTAATGGAAAATCAGAATTTTTTTCACAGCATCGCCTCACGGAAATATTTAGAAAGGTACGACTACTAAAATTAAAAGCGTTTCTCCTTTGTTCACTTTTCAGTTGAAAGATTAAATTTTCAATTAAACTTTTATTTCACAATTCATCAAGAAATATTTCTTTCTTCAAAATTATTAAAAGTATTTTAATTGATTCTGTAGCTTGGAATAAGAGAATTTTTAAAAAATTAATATATCAAAACAATTATAATTTCTACAAAGAAAGAGAATTATAACAATTTTATGATTAAATATTTTTACGATTAATTAATTTTATTAAACACAGAATTTTATCCAATAAAAAAAATTTTTATTTTTCGTTTTAAATTGATTAACTTCTTGGTATTTAAATTTAATAATTTATGATTGGAAAAATTGAAAGCTAAATCTTAAATGATATTTTAAATTAAAAAATTGTTTATGAATTCTAATAATTTTTTTTTTTATTTTTGAATTATTTTTTTGTTTTCATATTGGTTTTCAATATTGTGGGAATGTAAAGTGAATATATGGAGAAATAAGTAGATAGTCTCGGTGTATGATCAGGCGAAACTATAATTCCATTTTAAGTAGAGAGAATGGTTTGTCTTTCACCATATTATCTTATCGCTGGCAATTTTTTTTTTCAAATGGCAAAGTGAAGGTAGAAAATTGAAAATTTTCTCTTTTTAACTGAAGTCAAGGTTTTTTTCAATAAATAAATATTCTAACCTTTCGAAAAAATCGTTAAATATTTCATTATCTTGACTTTAAATAATATTAATAATAATATCTTGACATTTCATAAGCGAGTTTATTATTATGAAAATATTATAATGAAATATTGATTTTAATATTCATA